ACATAGCAAATTTGATAATCACCATATCGGGAGTAGTTTAGACTGTTTTTAAGAAACGCTTGACCGTAAAAAAGCTTGGTACTCAAACGTCACCCTATATTTTGAAAAACGAGTGAAAATGACAGCGTGTACGAATGTCTTAACAATTATTTTAAAGTATCAGTAAATGTAATTATCCACGTTTGTTTGATATTCAAACAGATATAGCAACATGAATTTATTGCTTAAAACCCTCAAAACAAAATTTACAAGAAGATGTACTTGATAAAAACAGCGAAGGTCTGACAAGAGCAAAGGTATGAAAGAGCACGAAGACAGATTTATATGCAATTTTCTCATGTTTGATATTCAAACAGATATAGCAACATGAATCTATTGCTTAAAACCCTCAAAACAAAATTTACAAGAAGATGTACTTGATAAAAACAGCGAAGGTCTGACAAGAGCAAAGGTATGAAAGAGCACAAAGACAGATTTATATGCAATTTTCTCAAATATTAGTAGTTTTGTTGTTCACATTCGTACTCGGGGAGACAGTTTAATTTCTGGAGGAGTCTAGAAAGTTTTTTTTGCAAAACAAATCGAAAGGTTTATTAGAGGAAGGACCTAGAATCAGGAATCCACTACATTAAATTTCTTCATGACAGCATCCAAACCCGCACGCCCCGAAGAGTAAAGGGGTTTTAGGGATAAACAGAAAGTTAATGTTTTTTTCACATTTACAATATTCGCCAGATCTATGATTTTTTGACTTGTTTCTATTTCTAAACTTGAAAAAAACACCTTTCAGAAGGAAAAAACAAGTCCAGGAAATCATTGGATCTGCCATTTTCCAGTATACTAAGGGTCATACCCAAAATTGAGTTCTAAAAACAATCAGAAATTGGATAAAAAATGTTACGGACATGTGTTTTAATTAAAAGAGATTAATAAGTAAAATCATGAAGACTAAATCATTGAAAAGCGTCTTTTGCTTCTTTCCGAGCACCGAGGACATTATGTATTGAACAGCCCTTGTAGAATGACATTGGACGTTATTTATCTTGTTTACCAATAGACTAAAACGAATAGAGTTAGAGACATAAACACCTTATGAAGGTTTAAATGGTATATTGTTAGAAAAGTTAGGGAAATTGACGAAATTGAATTCATCACGTTTATCATAAAGTGTAGATGTTTGGTGTTTTTTTAATATTAAAAATACTACTCTGTAGCATATTTTATTTTAAGCTCACTGGTATATATATCGAATCTACGTATGAATTGAAGTATCTATTTGATAATACATGTCCGTTGTCGATATACCTAAATGTAGAATATAAAGTCCACAAAGAGTGTTTTCTTCACATGCTTGAGATTTTAAATAAGTTCTACATCATATCAAGACAAAAAAGGTTTTGCTAATATATGAGCACATGATTGATATCCATCTCCTTCATGTGGGAAGACTGCTCTGCAAGAACTCATTGATATTGTCAATCAGAAACAGTATCTCTTTATCATCAGCTTAAAAATACTTCAAGTTGTTTGTACAGAGTGTTTTTAAACAAAAATGGCAAGTGATTTATAACGAGTTTCATTACTAGTCCAAAAAAGCCTGGACTTAATCAAATCGTAGGGAAAAGTTGTGAAAAAAGTTTAGAAAAATCGTACGTTCTGATAATTTCTATGTTAGTAAAATTGTGTGATTTCAAATTGTGTTAAAGTGCCTTGGATTTTTGAGCGTCCATATTTTATTTTTGCCACCTTGACTATTTTAGTAAACAGTTCTCCTTAAGTTTTTCCATTCACCATGGTTTAATATTCTAATGAGGAGTAAAGAAAAAGGCTTGGTAGAACATTTGCTGCAACCCGTTATATATTTCTTTGTAAGGATTTGTAAAGTTTAGGAACCCTTTATAGGTATTTTAACTTAAACCCATCTTGCTTATTGCAAATTTTAAAAATATTTAAAACTAACGTTGAGGTTATAAAAATGTCCCTTTGTCCTGGGGCCATGGCTTAACATTAATCATACACGATTCAAGAATGTCAGAAATTAAGAGTATCTTCTTCTCCACTGTTTTTAATTACATGTATATTTAAAAAAGAGAATGATATAGCCCAAACTTGACATTCATTTCACTACCTACAAAAAGTACATGCATTTACTTTGAAATAAAGATTGTGGTCTGATTTAAGAAAATTGTAATACTTGTTTTTGCATTCTCCTTTGAAATTTTTTGAATACATTCCTTACTTTTACTATATATATATATATATATATATATATATATATATATATATATATATATATATATATATATATAGGATTATATATATATATATATATATATATATATATATATATATATATATATATATATATATATATATATATATATAAAGGATTTGCCTGTTAATTAGGAATGTCATTGTGTTTAGCCATTTTGCTATATACATTTCACTCATTTCAATAGATTAAAAAAAGAAGCTCTATGTGCTAAGTTTGTTGAAAAAAGGTATGGAAAGTTTTGATTTTTGGGAGTTGAACTATGTTCAATTTCCCATGGTCATCACGCATTTAACATGCGCAGTAATTTGTGTTGATTATAAAGAACCGAAAGCGAGGCTACTGTGTAACAATTTACTCCGATGATATTCAAAAAAACATGCATAACCATCCGCCACAAATAGTTCATGTCATTTTCAAATTGATCTAATTTTCATAATATAAGTATACGTAATGTTAAAGTAATCTTATTTTGAATATTATTTCGTTCAAAGTAAAACTAAATCATAAAGAACCTCAAAAGTTTTTCGTAATGGAACATTTGTAGTGTAGCGTCATACACTGAAAGAGATACGAATATTTGCTGACGGCAAGCGTTAAATTGCATCGATGCCCGACGGTACCGGATATTTAGCAATTTCTTTTTTACCAGTGCACATAATTTATTCAAACTTTTCATGAACATCTTCTTGGTTTAAATAAATTCATTAATGCATAAAAACTTTAGGAAACATGCGTATTTATTACTAAATCAGCAGTATCACCTGCCAAAAGCGGTAAATCTAGTACTCTGTTATAAATGTTAAAACCCAAAACGGACACCGATGTTTTCGTAAAATCGCGATTAAGAACAACAAAATGAAGTATATTTTTTTAATAAAAAAAACAAACATACCAGATAATTTGTACGCACACAAACTCTCACATATACCACTGTTTTTATGTTTGGTCATAAAATATTTGTTTTTAACTTGGTATTGCTTTTTAGCTCACCTGAGCCGAAGGCTCAAGTGAGCTTTTCTGATCACATTTTGTTCCGTCTGATAATCTGTCCATCTGTCTGTCCGATATATCTGTCTGTCTGTCTGTCTGTCTGTAAACTTTTCACATTTTCGACTTCTTCTCAGAACCGCATGGGAGTTTCAACCAAACTTGCCACAAAGCATCCTTGGGTGAAGGGGAAAAGGTTGTTCAAATGAAGGGCCATGCCCTGATTCAAGGGGAGATAATTGGCAATTAATGAAAATTTGGTGGCATGTTTTAAAAATCTTCTTCTCAAGAACCACTGTGCCAGGAATGATGAAACTTATGAAATCTCTCAGGTAGTGTAGATTCAAGTTTGTTCAAAAATGGCATGACTAATAACGGGGGTTCATTATGGGGCCAAAATGGCCGACCAAAGTTTTACAATGAAATATATAGGTTCTTTAAAAATCTTCTTCTCAAAATGACCAAGCCATAATTCATAATTTTTATATGGAAAATTGTGTGATTTCAAATTTGTTAAAGTGCATGACCCCCAGGGGTAGGGCGGGGCCACAATGGCCGACCAAAGTTTTACATAGAAATATGTAGGAAAATTCTTGTAAAATCTTCTCAAGAATAGCAAAGGCATGAATGATTATATTTATATGGAAGCATCCTCAGGTAGTGTAGATTCAAATTTCTTCAAATCATTTGACCCCCGGGGGTAATATATTTCCTTGTAAAGTTTTACATAGAAATATATAGGAAAATTCTTTAAAAATCATCTTCTCATAGAAAATCCATGGTTGTTCATGGGACTACTTTTGGATTTTACCTTTTCAATAATAAACCAATTTATACTTTTACTAGCCACAGTGTTCAGGTGAGCGATGTGGTCCATGGGCCTCTTGTTTTCTTCACAATATTAAAAAAAGATTAAGTTCTGACGTACACCATGTATAATGTTCGTGTAATTGAAATACATTTACATTCACAGAGAAGTTTTATATAACAAACCTGTTAGCTCTTAAAAGGATGCTGTGTGTTAAAATCCACATTTTATCAACATTGATATTATTCCTGCGAAACTGAAAATTCAGAACACATGGGAAAAGGTGCCAAGGAAAAATATATTACAAATTTGAAGACTGTGAGCGGTGAATTATATAAATGATCAACCGCCTCTAATATGAATATATTGGCAGTGTCCATGTTTTGCAATGGGAAACCCAAAATATGTATAGGATGAAAATTAAAGTAATAGAAGGTGTACAATATATATATATATATATATATATATATATATATATATATATATATATATATATATATATATATATATATATATATATATATATATATATAATATTAATTAATAATTTTCAAGCAGGGTATATTTTAAAAAGGACTAATGTAGGCAGGCAAGCATTATGACCCATTCATTTTTTTGCTATTTAATGTCTCTGAATGTCTTTCTCAAGATTGTTGCAACTCAAGAAATCTGAAACAGTTGTCTGCATTTGAAATAATAATATAGTTCACTCACTTAACCTCCCGATCAAAGATTTTATTTTACACCATGTTCAACCCCCATAAGTGCTTTCAGTACTTTGAACGTTCAAACATGTATACAAAACTAAGATATCCTGATCCGGTGAATTCTCTTGTGTTGAGGAATTCTATGACCTACATTTCTACCTATATCTTTGTTATCAATTGTTCAGAAGAGAGCGCCATTTACTGTTCCAGGTAGGGTACTAGTATTTGATAATATGTAAATAGTTTGTGTCCACACACCAGGATTTTACTTTGCATAAAAAGTACATATTTCAGTTCATGTGTGCATTTAAGTACCATCTCTCGTATTTTTTGCATTATTGCTTTAGGTATGTGGCAGGTAGTTCTTTTGGTGGTTTTGGTTATCGTGTGGTATCTGTGGTATAATGCACGTGCCTCCGGTATACAGAGGATTACAGTCAGGGGTCAGGGAGTACTGATTACAGGATGTGATACCGGTAAGTGTGCAAAGGAAGTCATTTTTGTATACCTTTCGCAATGGGTATGCAAACATTTATGCAAGGTGGCAAGAACCTGAAGCATAGTGAAGTGTTGCAAGAAATTTAGGCATATATATTGACCTGAATAAAGGAAGAATGTTGAATTCAGCTTATATAAAATTGTGGTTGCTGTAAAACTGTTTGATTGATATAAATTTGATTTGATTGAAACTTGGATTGATTTTTCTTTAAATGAAGTGTTTGAAAAATATTTAAATTATAAAGTGAAAAAAGTGCAAAAATAATCAAGAAAGTTGCATATATGTGAAATATATTTAAGATTTAAAAAAAACCCTCTTCACCATGCCTCACAAAGATATTTTATTATCATATTCTATATTTAAACCAGTAATGGCGGGCTTTCTACTCTAAGATGAGTTTACTGTAGCATCAATTTTACTGACTGTTGCGTTTGTTTTCAGGAATTGGACATGACCTAGCTAGACGCCTAGATGACATGGGGTTCCATGTGTTTGCTGGCTGTCTGGTGGGAGATGGGCCTGAGGCATCAGAATTAACAAAATCATGTTCTAACCGTCTTCATGTCATACAGCTGGACGTCACGAAAGAGAAACAAATCAGAGCTGCCAAAAGTTATGTGGAGACACTGCACAAACAAACTGGGTGTGGTAAATACATTCTATGTAAAAAAGAAACGGCTTTTTATTTGATTCTAAATAGTTATTATTAGTGTCCTTAACTCTATTAATGGTGCAAGAAATGAATTAAAATTTCTTCATCGCGCATCTTTCTTTTTTTACATTATCAATCCCTTTTTCGGATATATTTATCGAATGTTGTCTTAATTATGCGTGTTTCTTAATGTTCAAGTGCAACTTTAATTTGTAGGTCTCTGGGCTGTTGTTAATAACGCTGGTATAGACTGTTGGGGCGACATAGAATTTTGTACAATGGATATGTACAGACGTATAGCGGAAGTAAATCTTTTTGGCTTGATAAACGTTACGAAGACATTTCTACCCATGATTAGAAAATCCAAAGGTATCTTAAAGTACAATAATGATTGTATAGACTTTCTTAATATAAAATATATATGTGTCTGTATGTCTTAGAGTATCGAATTCATTAGACTGTATCTAAGTAATTGAAGTTTGAATGAAGGACATATGATACAAACGATTTGTTTTCTTTGGAGGAGACCTAATATCATCTCACAGGCTTAGAAAAATGGATCATTTTTTGAATTTCACCTTAGTCTTGAATATGAAATAGATTTGGAAAATGTTAGTTAATACAGCTAATTTTTAATTAAATAACAAATATTAACAAATCATTCTTAGTAAAGGTTTATAGATGAAAACAAACTTCAGAATATGTTAGCTTAGAGCTAATATAATGCTAATAAGTTTACATTTATATACCAAACCTGGTAAATTTTATGAGGAAAACAAAATGGTGAAAAATCACGTAGTCTGATTTTGACCATTTTGCTTTTCCTCATACAATTCAACTGGCTTTGGTATATTTTTTTTTAAAGTAAATTATATTGTTACATTGTTTATAACTATTTTAGATCGCTCTGTTTTCCTTATCAACATTTTACAATAATTTTAATACCTAATAGGTCGAATTATAAATAACACGAGTGTAAAAGGCAGAGTGTCACTTCCCAGAATATCGGTCTATGGAATCACTAAATATGGCGGGGAGAACTTCTCCGACTGTCTTAGACTTGAAATGAGGAAGTTTGGGGTAAAAGTTGTCATTGTTGAACCAGGGGAGTTTGGAGGAGTTACTGGAATTCTCAGAGGCAACAATGTAAGGCCATCGTCTTAGACTGAGCTAATCTGAGAATGTTATCTATGTAGTAAAATCTTGTTCCACTACCCAAAGCTAAATTCTGCAGTACAACTACTTTTTACTTCGCAGTTTTTGTTTACAATTAACAGTTGTGTAATTGATCTGTTAATAATAAACTAGTATTTTATTCCACAGAAAGTGATGAAGTGTTGTCATGCATGCACATACATTTAAAAATTGTGCAATAACATGTAATGTGGTTTTTGTTAGATGAATGAGTATATGTAAAGCCTTATTTCACAGAATCTTCATCTAGATGTTCATTTATTTCACAGGATCCTTATCTAAATGTTAATTCATTGATCTTCTCTAAAGATTTCTCAGAAAATTGAAAATTCCCGCACAATCATTTTCATGTTGCTGGTTTTTTTCTTGACCAATAATTTTATGGCAACACAACAAACTTGGTCTGACATTTCTTTTTTGATTTCCATCCATTAACTAATGTCGCGAAGGCACGTTCCAAGTCAAAAGAAATAATTGTTCCAATTTTCCAGTGGAAAATTTTCACATAATTTTCAGTTTAAACGTCTGAAAAGAGATGTAGATGAGATGTGGAACAATGCTGACTCAGAAGTGAGAAAAGTTTTATGTAGCCGGAATTTAAATTTTGACGAGGAACACGTGCTGTCAAGCAAAACTTTGTTTTCTTGGACGTTGAATATGTATCCATGCTGCTTGTTTACAACTGACAAAACTGATTCCAAAAAGAATTGAACCTGTCATTTACCATTTTTTCAAGTTAAAGCACCTTTTCTTTAAGACCTTATAGACCTTTTCCTTTAAACACATTACTTGTTATAAAACTTAGTGGATAACACTTGTGTCAAAAGGACTTATTGATTACTATTGTGTATGTACAGTTTTTTTTCTATAGATGAAGTTTTATGTGTTTTTAAAAAATTTGCTGGCGTTTGAATTCTTAATGCAGGCAGAAGAGTGTTTTTAGCAATGGAATGAAGGCGACTTGCAATACTTGTATTTTAGAGATTTGTTCTCTTTTGAAGGAAAACCTTTCAATTTTGAGGTCTTTGAAAAATTTCTATTCCTAAATTGCAGCACACAAGTACAGTTTATATGTGTTTCAGTGTTATATCATTTATAGAATTATTCAAGTTATACAAGAATTCATATAATTAAAATAAACATTTTTATTTGTTTCAATTAAAACTTTTAATGAAGGAAATTTAAAAACTATATGGTTATTGAAAATAAAAGAAATGTTATGGAGAAAATATTATTTTTAATTATATATTATTATCATTTTGAATTTTTCAGTTTTACGCTCGGTTGAATAGCTACCTCCCCACCGCTTGGATGGATTTTCTAGTCGATAGATGGTTCAACTCTTTTGGATTATCAAATTTTGGAACATAATATCATGATGCCTTGTTATAAATAAAAAAAAAAACAATTGTAAGATTATATTTAAACAGTAGAATTAAAAACACAGGCTTTTTACTGTTGTTTAACTGGTCAATTTGTATATTTAATACCACAGAAAGTGATGTACTGTCTTTATGTAAACATATTTAATAATTGTACAGTAACATGTAATGTGGTATTTGGTAAATAAATGAGTACAGTATAAGGAACGTCATATTTCACAGAATAACTTCAACTAAGTGTTTATTTAATTTACAACATCCTTATCTAAATGTTAATTGACTTTCACTTTTGTTGAATTTGTTGGTCGTCTTTAATCAATGCTTCAAAAAAGGTAGTTTCATTGAAAAGATGTTTTATATATGTTCTTTCTTCTAATTCCCGCACAATTTTTTCAATAGTTGATGTTAAGGAATCGGTGTCTTTTTCTTGGCCAATAACAAATATTTTTCGTTGTTTTTTCTCTGTGTAGCAAACTGTATTTTCAGGATTGGGAATCCATATAGTACATGTAACTCTCTTATAGCACTTTTCACAAAGAAAGGCAGGTACAGAAATGTTTTTTAATCACACCAATCATTAAGAAAGTCTGTCAATAAATCTGAAATAATTTTTTTCCAAGCATCGTTCATATGTGATGCTGCATTTGTACTTTCTATACACAGATATGCCCGTTCGTCAAAGACTTTGCTTTCTGCCCAAATTGGTCTGGCATTTTTTTTAATTTCAATTCAATAAATGTAAACTGCTCAACCTTTTCACAAAAAACTTCGCCTTTTAAGAGAAAATTTTGTTTAGGATGTAGTTGAATCAAGCATCTCACTTGTGATAAAGAAACTCTGTCGTTGTGCAAAACGTTATCTTCATGGACGTTGAATAAGTTTCCATGTTGTTGGTTAACAACTGACATAACTGAGTTTAACCCAAAAAAAAGAAGATATAATTATTTATATGGATCAAATGAAAGATTTTTTTTAAACTTCAAGAAACGTAAATTTAATTTTTTTCAATAGAATCATACTTTCTTAAAGACTCTTTGTCTTTTTTAAGCATAATGAGACAAATATTACAAATCTCATTTATGATTGATCTCATTCAATTTTTATATAAATCATATAATTCTACTTCTTACTTTCCTTTGATGTTCTCATCTTTGAGAGACTTGCAAATTCGACAGGCCAAATAAATGACTTGAAATTTCCAAAAACATTTTTGAGGTCAGATGGTATTTCAGCAGGCATAAATTTAAAAACACAGGGTTTTCTCAGTGTAGGTATTTTACTGAGTTGGTCTAGCTTAGACTGAAATTTGACTAGAAGTTTCGGGTTTTCTGACGCTTGTATGTCCTCGTATTTCTTGATGGATTCGCTTATCTCCTGAATCTTACTTTCCATTAGAGCCTTTTCCTCATTCAAAATTTTCAAAGCCTTGTCCTCTGCATCTTTTAGTTCTTTTTCAAGCGATTCTTCAAGAGACGTTATTTCCTGGTGCCATTTTTCACCCCAGAGTTTGAGTTTTTGTCTGACCCGTACAAAATGCTTAGATACCATAGAAACATTGCTGTTGATATCTTGAATACGCTGTTCAAAGTTGCCTTTCACTTTTGTTTGTAATTCAATAATTTCTTCTTTCATCAATGCTTCGAAAAAGGAACTTATTACAGACATTGATGAAAGATCGTGTTGTTTATGCTCATTTGTAGAGACACATTCACTGCACACAGGAACACAGCAGGACTTACAGTAGACGTCACATGTAGAATTAAGGTGAATGTCACACTGTTGTGTCAAAGAACGGGAATATTCCCGGAGTTCATGTCCACGTTTTGATTTCGTGCGCATGTGTTTCAAAGAGCATTCTCCACAGAGTTTTATTCCACACGGAATACATGTAAACTCTACAGGCCGTTGGCACTTTTCACACGTTATGAAATGTTGTGCTCGGTCGTTCGTAGCCATTTTGTTTTTTATCACACCTATAGATCATCAAACTGTAAAACAAAATAATTTGAAGTTTAAGATTTATGCCCCATATGATAGGTAAAATTGGAGTGATTTTGCAAAATATCTTTGTAGTTAACTGACCTTAATCATAAATCTTTGCCTTGCAAAAAATACTACTTTCTCTTTCGTCGATGAAATGTAAACAATTTTTAACGTGTTGGTATATGTAACTATCCGCGTCAGGTAAACTGGTCACCCGGAACCAGTACAGGTATTTTTTCATCAATTGTCATTGATATAAGACATTCATTTAAATTGCACAATGCACCGTTTAAGATAGATTTCAATTAAACTTTCATCATCGTAAATTTACACTGAGGACATTTTAGTTAAGAGTACACTGTACATGGATGACTTAGAGATACTTTGATGAATCTTATGATTAGGAAGATTATATTGAATACACAAGACAGAGATAGCAGGAATTCTGATAAGGCTATCAAAATGGTGACCCTGCACTGTAAGTATGAATACCTTAATAATATTTAAAGAAAGGAAGTCAAATCATCATGGACGGAAAAGTATATATGAAGAGTACCTGAACAAAGTCACTCAGAATTTTTTCTCTTATACAAGTAAACTTAGTATAAATTTTAACCTTTATAAGACAGGAACAGAAAAAACATCAATAAACTCATAAAATCAAATTATTTTGGTGTACCACTTTTAATATAGCAGAGTTTCAACATGAATATTATAAATATGCATAACAATATTATAATATATATAGATATATATTAGGTGTATTGTATTTTATGCTTTTTTGAGGAACTTTTGACTTGATTACTGTTCATTATGCTAATAATAAACATATGGAGATAAGTAGTAGTATTCAAGATCAAAAGTCAATAAAACAATATTAAATAGGTGCAGAGCAAACACAGACCTCTAAAACATCAGGTGCCATAGAGGAGCGAGTATCCCCTGCTGACCTGTCACATCCGCCGTGTGTTCCGTGTCATGATCGGGGAATAACGGGAAAATTCGTCTACAATTCAGTGTATAAATAATGGACTAACAATTAGTATGAAAAATTTCAGTTAGCATTTGACTCAATGCATATTTCCCAACACGATCATTGTATATTACATGAATATAGGTAAACGTCCATCTAAGCAGTGGTGGACATTCTTAGTGCCAGATCAGTAGGCTGTTGACTATTTATAGAAGAACTTGTGTCATATTTCAAATTATTTTTTTAGTGTGTCTCATTTTGATGAGCATGTGGACAAAAGGTGGGTCTATTTTGTATTTTTTACCGGAATTTAAAAATTCGTTTCAGCCATCCCTACATTAACATGTTCAAATCCTGAAAAATAAACATAAAAACTATTTTGTTTTTTTTGTATTTTGATCCATTGTAAAACTATATATTACATTTTGAAACACTAGAACTTATTTTTTATGAAGAGAAATATTTTTATCTTCTAAGATGCTCTCCAGAATGCACTTTTCAAATATTTTTATTTTAGTGTTAAAATAATAAAATCGTGATTTTCACTTTAGGTTCAGCAATCATTTGCTATAACTGCATTTTTGTGGACAACCCTCTCCATTGTAATATCACTAAACAATGTTTACTAAACGAGGTATTTATTGTCATTTACTTTAGAATAATAGTATCGATTTCATGTATCGTCAAAATGAAGACTTTGCAAACGTTTTGATATATTTTTTTTATTATATTCAAATGCTCATTATTGAAATAAATTATATTCTTTATTATTTCATATGTCTTAAACAAGGTTGCAAACATTATTTTGATTTTGAAATAACGTTCCATTCCCATATCTATTTTATAACTAATTATAATTCCTAATCTTTGTCAGTGTATATATTCATTTTATTTCGTAAGAATACTTATTGTATAGGTGTGTACAGTAACAGAAACAATAGATGACAGTTTTAGCTTTAAGTACCGACTAGGCTGTGTCAATCCCATGGTAGGTATAATTAATAGTTCATTTATATGCATAATGTACGAAACTATTAAGAAAAGCAAATGTAATTTGCTAAAATTTTGTATGTATGACGAAAAGAATATTTACTCCTTGGTATTTCTTAACCCCTTTTCTAGTTTAATTTTTATTTTTGATAAAAATGTGCTCATGTTTAAGAGAGAGAGAGAGAGAGAGAGAGGTCATCAAGTTTTTTTTTACAGAATTGTGATGCAGTGGTCCAGAATGGCAAACGAAGTCTTTCTCAGCAATGTTGTGCAAGAGACAATTGTAATCGAGGCTTCCCAGGTTCACTAACAACCAAAGTCACAGCAGCAGCCACATCACCAACAACATCAACTGTGCCGACATCAAGAGAAACTACTACAACTAAATTAACAACCACCACAGCTTCACAACCCATAGTAACAAGTCATTTGACAAAAGCTCCCACTAGTCATCATCATCACCATCACAAACATTCGACGACAGTAACAACAACAACGATTACTCCCTCTTCAACTGACCACACAACACACCAACATAACCAACACAACCAAAACAATCACAACAACGGTTGGTAACAGACAGCCATTCGATTTTTTTTACATTCCAACTTAAAGATTGTTACATGTACCATGCTAGTTTTTGAGTTAATGGGATCCTTTGTAATTGGATTTAAGGAAAAAATTATTTCTGCCTTCGAAGGAAAACCTGTATTCCTGTCTTTCATTTAAATGTCATTCTCTTGGAAATATCATACTCCAAGAATTGCTCTTGAGCAGATGGAGCCTGTAATCAGGAAAATTTGGTCAAATATCACCACCATTTATACTATTCCTCGGAGTTACACGGGCGTCAAAGATTAACCAAACAGGAAGCTAGGGTCAGTTTCTTAAATTCCTACCTTTTGAGACGGATTCACTTTTAAACTCAAGTTTACAACTTTTTTCGTAGGATGATGATTTTCAATTTTTAAGAATTTTTTCTTTGCAAAAAGTACCATCATCTAGGATAAGCGATTTTAAACTACATGTTTATCAAACTGTGAAGAGTAGCTAGAATACAGTAAAATAATTAATCATAATTTAAGTTGCCGAATTTCATTGTGAATAAATTGTTTCAGGAAGCTTGTAAAATGTGTCATATGGAACTCGTCAGTATACATTCAGGAGACGAACTGACATTCGTCCACAGCCATCTAGCCAATAAAAGTAGGTTCAGAACTAAAGAGAGAAAAAGAGGGGGTAGATGAACGAATCTCAGAGTTAAAGACACAAAACTCAAACTTTCGTGTTTTTTACCTCTTTTAGCAGCAATATATACTGAAAGGAAAAAGAAACGCAGGGTAAACTTAGGAGGTGATTTAAATTTATTTTTCTTTTATATTTTTTTTTTAAAACTATCAATATAAATCCTATCTAACTTTTAAAATCATCTTACCGCAGATAAATTTAAACAAACAAGCCAGTCTGGTTCCCTCTCCTGCTTTACCTCGTATGTGTAGAGAACAAAACCAAAATCCCATTTTTCAAAGATTTTGTTTAATAATTAATGAGTTATTAAAGCTTGAGAGTAAGAACATATTTAAAATGGCGACTATTGGGTTAACATCCTGCCTTGAACAGGATCACATAAGCCGGCAATTGCTCTTTAAGCAATAAGTAAAAATCAAAAACTCATTATCTTTAATGTCTTTCCCTCGCATCTGTCATGAGCCTTATTTATCCTTTGCATGGAATTCATTAGAGTGTTTATCTTTCAATCCCTGGTTATATTGGGCATTGTAAACAACGCCAAAAAATTAGTCATGCGACGCGCGCATGCGCCAGTGAGAGGAACACAACAGTTAGTTGACCGGTTCAAAAATCAAATTGCAAAATTGTTTTCTTTCATTTTTTGTGTGAATGTAATGATTACAATAGTCTTTTGTATAAAAGGCGGTTTTTGGGGTAGCAAGGTGCCGATTAAAGAGATGACAGGACGGATAACCCGTTCGTAACATGACCCTGTTTCGCATTAACGTCATCGTCACGGTTGATTGAAAACCATTCCATGCTCTCTCTGACAACGGGTAAAAAGTTTAAGTGGAAAATTTAATTTTTTCATTAATTAGGCAATTCGAAAACCAAACCCCATGGAACTTCTGTAAACTGTACCAAGATTGCAAGAAATTCATATCGTCTCTAAATATTGAAAAACAATGTGTATACCTCAGGTGCATCAAATGGTGCAACAAGATTTGTTGACAAACTCGTCGTCATCAAATCGCATGTGTTTTGAGCTTTTTTAGCGTTTTCCCTACGGTTGAGTAATTCTGAACACTAATTTTGGTGCACAGTAGCTAAATTTCTCACCTGACCAATTTTCGTGATTTTTGGTCATGCGGTCAATTTTTTTTTCGAATATTATGCAGCCCTGCGTTTCTATTTTCTTCTAAGATTTGTTGATAATTTTAAAGTTAAAGATATTCAATTTATTTTTGAATTTAATTTTTTTCATTCCTAAGCTTTAATATATGTGTATCTTCAATCAAATTCAATATTCTAATATTCCATTATGATTTGTTGATCAGACGAGATTTGGATTGGGCTGGAGCATGGTGCGTGGACAGATGGAAGTCGACATAATTTTTTCTATTGGAGGCATCCTGAGGATGCTAACGAGCCCTGTATTGTCATGGATACCAACAGTAGCTGGCAAGCTGATAACTGCTACAGGACACATCTGTATGTTTGTAAAAGCAAAAGGTATTATCCTTTACTTGTACGACAATTTTCAAGTCAAACACAATGTTCGACTTAATATTATTATTAAAAAAACAACAAAATTATACTTTAAATGCGATAAAAAACTTTTTAAAAAATTTTTTGATGAAATATTTTTATATTTTCAGATGAAGTGGTCAGTGTGGTTAGTGAAAATGAGATATATCGTTTATGACTCGAAATAAAGAAAGACATAGCTGTTTTATGTCTGTTGAACAAGATTATGAATAACAGCGCTTAGATAAATACCTTTCTTAAAATACTTTTTCCTTTCGAATGATCAATTCAAACTATATAATGTGGCTTTCATTTTATCCCTATAAAATAAGAACGTGCATTCATATAGCATAAAGAAATCATCGTTTTATGCTAAGGGCAAAAATTTAATGCCTTTAAAATTCAAAATAGACATAAAAATCACACGTCAAGGGACTTCATTCCTAAAATGAGGTAGACAACCGTAATTGATGCAATCACTTCCTGATATGGTCTTCTTACGACTTTCATATTCATGTATTTTGAATATTATAATCATATGATGGAATAATCCTGAAATATTTATACTGATAAAAAAGATAAACATTTGAAATTGGAAATTCTATCTTTTAATCTTTATTACATATAGAATAAAGTAACAGATTTGAATGCACCAAAAAGAACAAGTTCTAAGTAAAAAAAGGACTCAATTTTAAAAGTTTGGAGTTCATGATATTGATAGAACATAAATACCCTGTATACGTGCAGGACAATTTTACACCAAATATATCTAGTTTCATAAGATATTAAACATTTTAAAAATATCATAAATGTGCGTAACTATTCAAATGTTATGAAGGTGATTTTAAGATTAATATACACTACCAATATCAAGAGTATTTCACTGACATAATAAGCAGCTCAACAACCAAAATACAGACGACGACACACATTCCTCTATGAATATACATAAATCTTTAAAATTTTGTTAAAGTAAATATGCAACTAATATTGCTGTGTTACGAACATGACATTATCTTTCATAGGATAACTGAACATTCGATTTTATTAATTACTGGGTTTTTGGCCTCATCAATCTTAATTTTCACTGTCTGATCAAAGATGCCCAAATGTTTGAACACACACACATATTGCAATGGAATAAAATATCCACGTATTATAGAAGCAAAGTTAAAAATCAAACAGGGAAACACTATATCAACTGTATGTTTTGTAACTCAGTAATCCATTAAATTCTTATTACCTCCAATGAGTATTTCATATACATAATGATCAGTTTCTACACAGCAATTATATAAAACACTTCCTAAAACCATATATTTTTTAATATCTTTATATACGAGATGTTTTGCATTAACAATAAATACTTTTGGCATAGATACAATAAGAATGAAATATACAACACTGTATTGCATGTATAACCATGAAAATTATGCTGTTTGAGTAAGTGAGTAAGCAGTAAACTTTGACTGCCACATAAATACTGCCATTAAAGATTCAGATATAAGATATATAAACAAGTTTATACATAGTCATAAAACATTTTATTCCGTCATTTGTTTGACTGTAGGAAGCAATATCAGTAATGCCTTAGTTTTTGCACCATGTTATCAAAACATCGACTAAGGGATGGCAAGCAATCTAAATATATACTACATGTACTAAAATCTAAGAACACAAATAAGACTAAAATTAAAATTGATATTATTTTTATGGCACGCCAAATTCACAAAAATGAGCAAATCATAGTTTCACAATCGATAAACTAGGTTTATCGGTTGTAAACTATAGTTTACGGACTGTAAACTATAGTTAACAACGTTAATGTATATTTTACATCTGTAAACTATAGTTAACGCGATAATCTATGTTTCACAACCGTAAACTATACTTAACACTGAAAACAATCATTTGCGATTGCAAAACATAGATTATCTGATAAATACAGTTTCACGATTTGTAAACTATAGTTTACAAACCGTTAACTATAGTTAACGATCTGATAAATATAGTTTCACGATTTGTGAAACTATGATTAACAACTCTTAACTATAGTTATATATACAGTTTACGAACGTATATGTTTATCAACAAAATCTATTGTTAACGCTTACAAATAAGTAAACTATAGTTAACAACCGTTAAATATAGTTTTACTGATAAAACTTATACTTAACGAATCGTTAACTATACTTAACGAATCCTTAACTATAGTTTAAAACTATAGTTTACATGTAAACCTAGTTTATCAAATGTGAAACTAGGTTTATCTCATTTTTGTGAATTTGGCGTGCCATATATTTTTCCTTTTGAATTCGTTCACATGTAAAAAAAAAAAAATTAAGAGGATTCATAAATATAAAATACTGATGTTCTAAGACTCTACAAAACATTAAATAAAAAATAAAAAGGACGGTAAATATAGGATTGAGAGGGAATAAAAAATTAGTACACAAACACTATCACACGACACAACTGCACAGCCATGTATTCTAATTTACATTGTATAATAAAGTCACAAGGAATGAAAATCATTTCGCTATCAGCGTCAAGTCATCATGTATTTATTGTAAATGTAAATAGGAGATCCAAGAATCCATGTAACTGCAACTTTGGAATAAGGAATATAGCAAATTTTTACAGAAGAGTGCAGTTATATGTAGAAAATGATTTTTTTTGGTTGTATGAAAAATGTTGATCCATGATCATTTTTTCAGGATCAATTCATTTAAACAAGACAGTGATATAATAATTTACAAGCATTTTGTGAAGTGAACTAACATTCAAATAAAATGATACATAATTGATTACTTGTCATATAAACATATATATTTGTACTTGCATATTTACATTCCATAGTAAATATGGACAACATCAATTAATTCCAATTTTGAATCATCAATAAAGAAATTGCCGCAACAGCAAAGGCATATAGAGAATCATTAGAAAAAAAAACCTTTTTTGTAATTTGCTATTTTTAACGTTTATAAGATACATTTGCTTTGAAGGTAAAATTAAGATCTACAGTGATACACTGTACAATGTATGGTCATGTCCAAGTTAAATGATGGGTCAGAATAAACTGTACAATCACTTATTTTCTTAAGGTCAAATTTTACAAATATATATTGTTTCATGATAATTAAATTTCGTCATTAAAGAATTGCTAAGTTGTCATATGCATATACTAAATTTATTTTAATTTGTAGATAAACATAAATTCATGCGTGTTTTCATACAATAAAAATAACGACAATTGCCCTTTCGAGAAAATAAACAATTTCATAGTATATACCTGTATATTGAACTATGTACGTTTATAAGGTGTAATGACCGTGTTGAATGGTAGGTCAGGACATATGTAGATGCAGTGAACTTCTTCGTCATCCTCTTCATCTTTTAGACCATTGTATTTTAAGTCTTCTACCACACTTGGCAAGGTTTCATACATTTTGCCAAAAAACTTCAGATGACAATTCAAAGAAGTACTTTTACTTGAGGCCTCAGGGTCTCCCTTCAAATAAAAACATTTACATTGAAGTACTGATATACTTATGTTTGAAATTAAATAAACCAACACAATACTAGTTTTTTCATTTAAACAATGCTAATGATATGAAAAGTTATTAAAATACTACTATAATGCAACACAGAGATCATCGCGTGTAATTGGAACAATATTGGTTTTAGTTTTAATAAAAATTTCTATAATTAAAAACATTTATTAAAGTACTATAAAAATGAAAAAACACAATGCTTGATAATTCTGAATTGTAAATTATGATATTTTGAGACGTTAAATATATTTACTTACTTCAATTTCAAAATGATGTACTGCATCTTTATCCTTTACAGATACCACAAAGTTTCCTTCGTCTGATCCACTCTGACTCATTCTAAAGGTCAAACAAACGAATAAAAACTCGCTCAAACATATAGTATTGCAAAGAGTCACATGAACATTTAAGAAATATCACCAAAACGGAAAAGACTCATCTACTGTGAATAGCTCTGCTGAATAATATTTTTCTCTAAAAATTGTTTTTGAATCACTGCAAATTCTCCAAACACTGAATACTAACATAACATATTTAAAAAGAACCTGAATTCTTTACCTTAAAAGATAGGTCTTGTTTTTCTGTTTCTCTAGAATTTTCTCCGCATCCTCTCGAGTCATGTCACCAGCAAACCAACTATTATATATGAATGATTTGACAACTTAAATTCATGAATTGAAAAGTACTTTTAAATCTCTAGTTTTCGTGGAGAGTTTATTTCCTTTGTTTAAAGTGTACGGAAATATACAGGATTTTATGGTTTACCAGTTTAGAAATGAGAAAAAATTAAAAGTATGGTATCACTGTCTTCTTAAACTACGAAATTTAATCCGTACACATTTTTCCCAAACAACGGAAATTTGTCCCCATGAAAATAAATGATAATAAAGTAATTGGATAAGTACTTGTAAATATCGAAAGAAAAACAGCACTGTAAGACCTGATGCTTTCTAGAAAACGAAAGATATACATCACTGAAATTTACCTTATTTTCTTCTTGTCTGCTGATTTTACGAGGGATCTTTTCACTATATCGTTCAGCTGAAAAAAACCCGATTGAGAATAAATAAAAGTATTAACTGTCAAAGTGTATTTAAAATTTGAAAATGTATTTTGTCTAACAATTAATATATAAATAATCAAAGTAATTTTTTACTTTTTACTTACATGATCGATTATGATGCAGTTTTCGCCATCCTTTTTAAATGGACCAAAGAATCGTATTAGTTTAACCAAATTCGTGAGTGTAATTTCTCCATCATCTAAAAGTGTGTATAACAAATGAAGTTTTAATGTGTATTATTACATGGAATGCCCTAAATAACATTATATCAAACCTCCTGCTGGTAAGTGAATATTGTATTAACTTCCTGTGCTTAAGTACCTGTTCAAGTAATAATCTAATTGCTTTATTTTCAATATTTAATTTATAAGATTAATTAAACGATATTTTACTTCCAAGTAATTTTGGATAAAAACAGAGGGATAAGGAAAAACTATGTATTGCTTCACGAAGTTCATCTAATCTTACCCGCATTTGGCACGTTCAACAACGTCTTGAGAAAATTCACTGCCTGTTTACTGTTTAGTCCCTTTTCATTTGGAAATTTCTCTTTAAGCTTTGCAAAGAAATAGCTCCAGAACTGAAATGAGAGCAGTTTAATTTCTTTTAAGTCATATCAACTCTTCAAAAAGTTTTCACTGAATTGGAACTTAACTGAAATAATTTATTATAGAATTTTCAAATCTAAAATGATGAGTAGCTAGCTTACAAAGTTGATACAATGTCTTTTTCTCAGTAAAAGAATTTTTTTTTTACATGACATGAATTATAAGGAAATGAAACCGAGTCTATAAAATTAATGAAAGACATTAACAAACCTACCTTACTATGGCATTTGGTTTTATCGTCATCTCCGCACATTTCGACGTCATCCCAGAATTCAATTGATTCTTTAGAAGGACACTTTTCTCTTAACAACTTGCACTTATCACCTGCGGGCAATACAACCCCAAAATCAGAATTTACGTTTTTTTTTTCAAATATGTTTTAAAAGGGAACTTTGCATAGAAATTGTACAAATTTGCCTTAAGTGTTAACCTTACATCCAGATATATGAAGTCCTTGTTCAAAGAGTCGTCTCGCTTCTTCAGACGTTAGGCTACTGCTTAAACTTCCGCTGGACGTCCTTTGAATAAAAGCTTGTCGCATTACTAATGGGTCATGGGGAGCTGTATTTTCGCCATGAAAATTCTCAACAGATCCTGAATATCCCGAACTCCTTGATGATGTACGAGAAAGAAGAGCTCTTTCTCTCTGGGGGTCGTTCGTATTCCCTTTTTCTTCATTTTCAACCGGTTCATGAACAGAAAAACCCTGGGAAGATGTGGACAAGTTCAGGTCTGCTGCATACGTTTGCTGTGGAAGAGAAGCAGTAGGTTGATGACCTGACTGAGCTTCTAGGTTTACAGCACCACCATCACTGCAAGTTGGAGTTGCAGTGAATAAATTCTCTTTGATTTCGCTGATGCTTTTGGGTTCACCCAATATCTCTCCTGGCCCCTGTGTGTCTTTCTGTGGTACTGACTCATGAACCACCTTGGCACCATTGTTTTCACGTGGATCACACATTTTAGAAGAACAGGTGAAGGCAAAGATGAAAAAAATTAGTTTGTTTAATTGATCGTCGCACTTCTGAAAAATAAATTTTGTTTTAAAGTATAATTAAATTTTAATTTTTACACAAATAACATACACAAAAACACTTTTACAGTGATAAATTATTCTAAAAACTATAAAATACACGTATACATTTCAGAATAAAATAAGATTACATGTACTTGTTTGTCTAATTCACAAAATACAAATGAAATAAGTACCTTAAAGTCATTTAAAAGCTGAAAATTTTAGAAGAAAAGTTAATGTACGTATTCTGTCATTTTAAGAAATACAAATAAACTATTATTCAAGGATTATATGATTTATGCTAGATTTAAAAAAAGGAGCTTCCAGGAAGCATTCTTACCATCTGTCTAACTAACTGAAATATTAAAAATAATATTCCAGTGTATATTATTAATATGATTAACATTTATAATTAAGAACGCATTCCCTTTGAGTAACTGTGGAACATGAAAAAGCAATGGCACCGTGGGTAAAACAGCAGGGACTATATTTCTGTTGCAAGAGCAGGTATGTAAAATATCAGAAACTTTCCAATGTTTTGTTTTATAAATTTATAAGTTTAGAATTGTGCATTTCGTTTCATGCAATCAAACTACTGAAAGACTTACTGAAATGACTGAAATTCAGTCCTAGGTATTTAAATTCTGGAATATATTTGAAGAATAATCTTTTCAAACAATCGTATTTATAATTTTGGATCTGTCAATGGAAAAATCAGTCAATGCTGTTAACATTGTCTCTTTTAATTGAAAATAGTTCTTTTGGCATTTATTTAATTTTGTATCAGCATATGAAATCTTCATCATATACTAACAATGTTCCTTTCTTTTTCACTAAATTGAAAGTGATAAAAGAATAGGAAAGACATGTAGATAATATGCTATGGTGTCAGCACACAATTCACTCTGCTCAAGACTGTATCGCCTATCTTTAAAACTGTATTTTAAATGTTAAAGTTTAAATTCTTCACCTGAAAATCCAACTTTTATCACAGTTCACTTCTAAGGATGTAATTCATCAAATCCATCTTCCAATTTTTTAAAGTCAACCAATATTAGTTTTATTTGTTTGTTAGTTTGAGATTCCTCAAAGTTATTCAAAAGAAACTTTAAAAGCAGGAACATTGCCGGGGTCAGCAAAGGCTTTATCAAGCACATATCTTTACTCTCCAAATAAAAATAAACTGTTTGTAAAAAAGAAACTCAGAGCACTCTGTTTAAGCATAATCTACAAGGAGCGTAAATCAGATGTAGATTCTCCAGAGTCTTATGAAATTTTAAAATCAACATTCTTTTCATTAGCGTCAAAATATCTAATTTTTTAAAATTCTATTCTTTACGATCAATAATGTAGTGGACGGTTTGATATCATAGACATTAGACAACACCTCCCTCAATAAATAATAAAAGAAACCTTGGAATTTTAAATCTTGTGATTGGTCATCTACAAAATAGCTATATTAAAAATAACTCTTATTCTACAAAAAGTACACTGAAATCGATGTTTAAAAGAATGCTGGAGTTCCTCCTTTACAAGATCTACGTGGTCTTTGGTCTTCCAAAAAAAGAAATCTTAGAATCTGATCGGAAACATTTCATCTCTTTTATTCGATATTCCTATGAAGCAGACTGAATTCATCCAAAATATCCTAAATGAGAAGATTGAAATACTTTATGTGGTTTTATCTTTACATTTAAATATATTTCAATATGTAATCAATATAATAGTTACTTCCATATAGTGCCCTTCATATGTTGACTCCATATTCACATTTCCCTTTAAGCTCGAAATAAAAGACATCACAGAGTCTAACGCATATTTGAATGTTATGCTGACTTTAGATGATAAGGACCAACATACAAATTAATGTGATAATGATATTATACGAGATAATTTCAGCTTTTTCATCATCATCATCTTTCCTTACTTTTGTATAAATATAATAATATTCATTTACCTGCATATGGTGTTTACATCTCCTATCTTATTCAATGCTCAAGAACATGTCCTGAAAATGACCATTTTTTTAAACAAAGAAGACAATTTATAGATAAGTTGATGTTACGGGGATTTCGTAAACTTCTCTTAAAATCAATATTCGGGTAATTCTATTGTCGTTATATTAAATTTATTGGCAAACACATAATAACAATGGGTCGCATTTTGGTGATATGTTACATACCAAATGTTAGGATTATATAAAGTGAATTTGTCTATGGAATCTCTTGTTTAACTGATTAATATCTCGAGGTTGCAGACGGGATAACTGATTCACGGCAACGCATACGCCCTTTACCTCCTATTGCCACCTCCCACGTCTAGAATTTTCCAAGGAATGCGTTTTATTCCAAGTAAACTTATTTGTACACTTCGTATATTTTTTAAGATTGATTAGTGTTCGTTATCTTCACCTATGCCTTTTACAATAGGAAATTAGACAAAAATGTACACGAAGGGCATAGAAAACAATGAATTGACTCTTATATTCTATTTAAAGGAAATTATTTTATACTTTAGATTCAATACGGTATGAATGTTGATACATGGAAATAGAAGAGGCTCCCCATGATTTGCGACAGCAATTTTTATCCCTAGATGCACTATGACTTTGACCTGACCTTTTCATTGGTATAAGAAGTTAATTTTAACCAAGTTTACTGAATGAGATAATCACTTGATGATATTTTCTTCAAAATAGTGTCAAAATGTTAATTTTTTTAAAAATAAACAACAAATATGAAAAAAATCTCCATTATCAAATTTACTTTCATTTTGTTCTCCATCCTGTTTAATGACCTGATATAAAATCATACTTACAACATCGAAAAATTATATATATCGTACTGCGCTTGATATCCCTACATATTTACATACAATTTCATTTATTTTCTAGAAATGCTTCATGCAAGTTCAAATTCTCTCACAGGAATAAGAACCGATAAGAAGGAATACCGAATTATTAGTAATATTTTTTTTTAGCAAAACCCATTTGACCATTTTCCGTGGATATTAAAAGAAATGAATAGAAAAAATTATTAATAATCTTAATTAACAATTTCACAATTACAGCAGTTTGTCTAGTACATTGTAGTTTTAACCAAGGTCTATATTTCATAAAAAGTTGCTTCATGAAATAAGTAAAAAATATGTCATATCTCAAAAAAATATTTTAAAAATAACTTTTTAAATCCCCACTGTGATTCTCACAAAAATTGATTACCCTTCCCTTCTGGACAAATACAATTTTTAACATCTGTTTTTTTTTTTTAAGGAAGAAAGGTCATGCAGATTTTCATACCATTACCTATATGCCATTACCTATATGCTGAAATATGCTGAAATCTTAATAAAGACACATTGATTGGTTTCGTTTTCGTGCACCACATATACATGTAGTCATTTTTCAAACTGCAAAATCTATTTAAACCAAAAGGAGAAGTAATTGACCCGTGTTAACCTATGCTTTTCAGAAAAAAAAATTGTTAAGAAGGAAATCCATTTTACTAGTTATAATGCAATTACAGAACCTGTTCACTGCAATCAATATCCTTGTTTACAGATGTATACTATATAATGATTATGAAGTTGGCACAATGCCAATGTTTTTAATCTTTTTTTTTTAATACATGTAGCATTTATAAATGCAATATAGTAAAAGATATGAAGTCTTTGTGTTTATTCAAGATGTGGCTCTTTTTTTTTTTTACATTGTTTGTTGTTTTTTAACATTACCTCTGCAAACGCAAAGTGAATACATTTTTCTTTCGCACTTTGGTTTTCATGATCAGTGTTTTGTCTTCAGTTGCATTACATATGCTGAACTCAGTATGTAAATATATATTTCGAAATATATGTCGACATTGGTCTAAAACACAACTCAAGTTTTAAAGCCTTCTGTAGTTTCTCTTTGTATATCTTCGTATATATGATTTAATTTAATAAGATAGTTATTTATCTTTATGAATAAATACTTCTTCTCAGACATTTATACCCAGTCAAGAGGACAGATAGCAGATCTAGATAGAGTTGGCCATACTATGAGAAAAAATCATAGCGAACTTTTGTCGATTAAAGTTTTTTTCAATCTTTAATTAATTAAAGACGGGACTAAACACCAATAAACATATAACTAAAGGCTTATTCTTTTTTGTGTGTTAGTGAACAAATTGCTTTAAACTGTACATATACACGAACACGTATGTGTCTTCTTTATAAGCGTCGAAAACATTCAATTTTCAAATATTTCATAAATGTAGAATATTGGATATAAAGACCGGAAAGTGTATTCATACAACTTCGACCAAAATGAAGTAAATTTTTTTTTCCATAAAAGGGGATTCAAACACCTCGATACGACTAAAATAAAAGGTTTATAAAATCATCAAAGGAGTGTGTTATTTACTAAATTACGTTTCAGGATACAAACAGGAAAATCTATATACTTTAAAGAAACTATTCATCCTCACTAAAATGAATTATAAGTCTATTTATGCTCGTGTAAATAAACATGATAAACGTATTTTGTGCTCAGTGTCATATTAGTAAAATTGTGACAATACAAACAAGCACGTATACATAAATGCATGCATATATTAAATAAATATAAAGCACAAACAACCAGTCACCCCCTTTTATTCTTATGTGTTAGTCATACAAACATATATAAATTATGTAGATGTTTACAATATTTTGCATGTATAATATACATCCATACTAAAAGGTAATAAAACGGTAATGGTACATATTTTGTGTCATTTTCAATTATACAAATACAGACGCATAGAGACATGATACATAAAGCTGAAAATAGAAAACACTTACATTTTAAAACTGTCATTAAAGTGGCATTTTGCAAGATTCATCCATTGATGACAATTCCTAAATCCATGTCATTATGAGTAAAAGCTTTCAAACATCTCGTAAAAATAATCAAAACAAACAAAATCAATGATCATTCATCGAAAATTAACATCAATTTTAGGAAATTATTCTTAAATTATCACTGGAAAAACCATCCAATTCAACAACAAACTTACAAAGCATTCGAAACTGAAACTAAAATTGTGTAATTTCAAAACCAATAATGGAAATCGTATTAAGATCCGGAAAAAGCTTCTCTCTTGTTTAAATCTATGAAAAGCTTGCATGCAGTAACTGTTTTAAAAGTGTTATAGAACGCCACTTTCTTTATTTCTACATACACGTAGGTGTACACATGCAAATACTGAAATAGTTTAACGAGATTTTAGCCCATGTGCACGAACTTTAATGATTTTAATTATTTATGAACTCCCAAAAGCATAATCTTAAAGTACGTGTCTCAAAATATATATACACATATAATGTGTTTGCTTCTTTTTTAAAAGAATTTAATTGAAAAATAGGAGAAATACAGTACGTCATTTCAATATAAGCCTACAGAACGTAATTAACTAAAACTATAGTTTTTAACTTTTAGTAATTAACTATAAAATACTATAGTTTAACTATACTTAACCAAAGTTAATTTTTAACAAAGAAATCATTATGTTGAGGCTCAATACCGAAGAAAGGTTATATAACTTCTAGGTTATTGTGAAAACAAGGGCTATTCGGAATATTGAGACATAAAAGAAAGAAACCAATTCATTGAAATTCGAAAGCATTTTATCTAGAACAAATAATTAAAACAAATTAAAAGTCCAAAATACAGTCAACAGTACAATTAACATTAACCAAAGTTCAATTAAACAACAGTTCTCATTGCTTTGCCTTTGTTCTTTTGTACCCTGTAATGGCGGAATTTAGCGGAAGTCCCGGACAGATGGCGCTGCACCACACCTCTGTTTCCTCTGATCCATCCTCCTCTCCAGTAACCGTTATCGAGTCATATTTTAGTTCCTCAACTAGGTCTATTAGTGAAGAGTATTCTTTCTCTCTAAATAACAAACAACTTGAAAAGGGCTGTTGAGCAAAGGCTTTCAATGGTTGTCCCTAAAAAAGAAGCAAATTACGACTATAAAACAGTGACAAGATTAAGACCACACATAAGTTTTACATGACTGTTTATAAATTAATATATATTGAAAAGAGTGAGGAGTTGGCATCTCCTGTCGGGGGTTGAAAACCCTGCAATATCAACTTATCTATTTGCAGCCCGTCGCGGTTTTGAAAGTGATCGTTTTTTAGACCATTCTCTTTATTATCAAATAAGAGAGGAGACAAAAACACTATATGCCGGTGATAGCGGGATATTGCCACATAAATTAGAAAAGTTGACGATTAAAAAGTTGAAGTCATCTCGATTGTCAATCAGTTTAACTGTGTATGAGTACTAGTATTTGTTGTTATTATCTTAGGTGGATGAAACGTCATTGATATATATCTGAATGACAATTTGAAGGCCGTAAGTATTTTCTAAAAATTATTTGTAATTTTTGAGAATCCACATTTGATTTACATCACTTCTAGAATATATTATAGAATACTCAGTATGCACAAGTACTTTTTAAAAGTTATTGTAGCATAATCAGTATGTACTTTACTTTAAAGTTACTTTTACAGTTATTATGTTTGTGATGAGAGAAGCCGGTTGCATGGTAAAAAGTCCTTATTAGAACCAACAAAGTAACTTTGTAAGGATTTTATGACGCATACCTAGGGTAGAACGAACTCATCTTCCTTGACTGGAATGTTCAAAACGTTAAAGATTAAAATATGTTTTTTTAATAATCCCTTAGTGAACTGTGAATGTAAGTATGATTTTCAGACGTACAATTTAAATCATTTTCTTAAAAAATTAAGTTATAATAATGAGTCTTATATATAAACGATATTATTACAAGTCTCAGATAGAACCTTTTACCATATTGTTCAGAAAGTCTATTTATTTTATCACCTTGTAATCGAGTGAAAACGGAAGAATAGACAGTATATTGGATTTTAAGAAGTATTTTGCTTAATAATCTTCGTCAGAATTCATGAATAAATGATTCACTCGGTGTGTACGGACTGACAATTGTATTATCTTGTGAAGAGCTAGAGCAACATATAATTCATGCTAATATACAGAAAACTTGAGAAAATATTCACTTCAAATCTGTGTCTTAGCCCCTTAAAAGTATGTATGGACTTCACTCCCTTCAAAGAGTCCATTGAAACCTTTCAAGAAAACCGAGTAAAGTTTCATGTCTACGTAAGAGCAACAGATCTACGTGCTGCAAAGGCATACATGTACATGTATTTAATTGTATTTCATAAATACTTAACTATCGCTTATTTTCTCAATAATTGATTTCTTATCACTACTTATAGTTATCACTTACTTTGATCTCAATATGATGGACAGTATCGCCTTGTTTAACAGACAAAACAAAATCTCCATGTTCAGAGTTGTTTTGACTCATTCTGATAAAAAGACAAAGGAAAGTGAGATTTATGATATAAAATGATTTATTTTAAAGAACTAAGTCATGTCTTATTTAAGCTATAGACAAAATATCTCTTTTAAATTTTATAATTTATTCAAAATATACGAAAATGTGGGGTTTTAAAATACTTTTTACTCATCTACTAGTATTTGATAATTTATTTACTTCATTGTTTTCATATTAAGTCGGTAGATAAATTAAAAAGCAAAACACTTCTGGCATTGAATATACAATGTATAATATGTAATTTATACTTAAAGCAAATTACTTCCGTTTAAAGACAAGCTCAATGCGTTAGGAAAAAAAATGAGCCTTTAAGATTTTTAGAAAATATATAAATATTTACCTGATAAGAAAAGTTCCATTAGGTTCTGGGTCTAACTTGCTTTCTGCTTGTTGTCTTGACATATCGCCAGCAAACCAACTAAGTATACATTGATATTCAGGAAAATGTATTAATTACACTTATCAAAAGCACTTACTTCAAACTCCAAAACACAAAGTTTTGTGAATATATACAGTGAATATATTTTCAAATAACGGAAATGTATATAATTTTTTCAAGTGGATGTAATTAATTGTAATGTTTTTATGTTTGAAATATTTAAAAATATCACACCAATTCCTCGCACAAAATAAAAAAAATATATATTTGAATTTACCTTATTTTCTCTTTTCGTTGATTGTTTTTCAATGATTTATCTATTAAAAGCTGCAACTAAATAAAAAAACAACAACAACAGATGTTTGAGTGATTTATTCGTCATATAACAAATACATGAAAAAGGTGTCAATCATTTGTGTACTTCATACTATGTACAAGTGTACCTACTTGTTCTAGTAGAATACATCTCTGTCCAGAAAGCTTCACTGGCCCAAAGAATTTAAGGACTCTGACAAATTTGTCAAAATGAACCTCAACTGTGTCATCTTCAATAAGAGAAACATTAACAATACTTATACTCTAAACTTTAACCCATATCTATTCCCTCTATGTGTTAACTTTAACCGATACCTATTCTTTTTATGTGTGATCTTTAAACGATCCTTTCACTCCACTTGGTGCTCTTTAACTAGTATATTTCCTTTATGAGTGCTTTATAAGTAGAACCTATTCCCTCTATGTATAATCTTTAACTAATGCCTATTCCCTGTTTGTGTAATCTTTAACCATCACCTATTCCCTCTATGTGCGATATTAAACCAATAACTATTCCCTCTACGTTCTTTATCTAGTACCTATTCCCTCTATGTGTAATCTTTAACCAATACCTATTCCCTCAATGTTATTTAACTATTACTCATTCATCTATGTGTGATCTTTAACCAATACCTTTTCCCTATATGTGTTATGTTTAACAAATACCTATCCCCTTTATGTGTGATCTTTAACCAATACCGATCTTTAAGCAATACCTATTCCCTCTGTGTGATCTTTAACTAGTACCTATTCCCCCTTTGTGTGCTTTTTAATCAATACCTATTCCCTCCACTGTAGCCTAGTGGTAGTGCGTTCGCTTCGTGATCGGGAGGCCCGGGTTCGATTCTCGTTCAAGGCGCCGCGTCATACCTTAGACGTAAACATAGGTAGTGACTGTTCCTTCGCTAAGCGCTCGGCACTAGAAGTGAAAGTCACGAATCTTTCGGATATGACCTTAAAAACGTAGGTCCCATATCACGGTAGGCGTTGGCACGATAAAGAACCCTCACTGCTCAATGACCCTGAGTGCCGAGTATAGGTCTAAATTTGAAGCCCTTCACCGGCATCGATGACGTCTCCATATGAGTGAAAAATTCTCGAGAGGGACGTTAAACAATATACAATCAATCAATCAATCTTTAACTACATGTTGTACCAGTTCTCTCTACATGTGTGTATAACCTTAACTTGCAGTGTTCTTTCTATGTATGCTTTATAACTATCGACAGTACCTGTTCCCTCTATATGTAGTAAATTTTTCAGAAGATTCATTGTTCGCTTGTTTCTTAAAGTGGTCTCCTCCGGAAAAACTTCCCGGAATCTCTGGATAAGTCTTTTATAGAACTACAAACAAACCCAAATAAACATTACCATCAGTTGAATTGTCAGTTGTGAATACGATTTAGTAAAGTGGACTACCATGTTACAAAATATGCAAATAATTCCATAACATGCACAGTTGACTAGTGTAATACAATTTAGCGTTACAAGTGTATCGATTTCTTAAAAGAACTTTTATTCTCACTTCGTTACCATGACATTGTGCTTTTAAAACAAGACTTAAATTGCTAAATCTTATTATTTTAAATGATTAAAGAAAAGAAAAACACCATGGAACCACCTTATAATACAGATTTATTCTTTTAACTTATTTTGAATTTTAAATATTTTAATAATATGATATGTCGTTGCATAATCTCTTTTCCTGATCATATCGCGTGTAGGATCGAATGATCTGTGTACTAGTCTACCAAAGGCCATGATACTACGTGGGTCTTCTTCCTCCAATGGACCACGGGGAAACAATACATTCTTGGAATCTTATTAAAAATAGATTTGTTATTCGCGAGAAAGAAAACAGAATGGTACAAAACTCCAACCTTTTTGTGACATCGTGTACGGATGTCTGAGCATTCTTCAACACTCCTCCAGAACTCAATAGACTCATGATGTGGATAACTCTTTTCACAGACATCGCAAACATCACCTACAACATGAACTAGCTTTTATATGGCATGTATAGAGTGTTTTTAAAACTGAGTTGTACGAGGAAAGAAAGTCTCTTTAAAAAATTACATAAACTGGTTGTTCTTTTATACTTTTTGACTTATGCTATAGGAAGAAACGGTTTTCTAGGTTTCTTTAGATATAAAAACTCAGAACTTAAGATTTATCGTTAAAACATAAAATTCAAGGACATGTTTCAATTTTTTATACTTTTCTTTAATTTTTGGTGGACATATTCTAGTTTACTAGGGATGCAGAAGGCTAAGTATGTACACTTCCCTAAAGAAAAAGACTATTACACGAAGGGATACCTGAAATCAACAATAATCTGGGGGATTAAATTTGTTTTCATGGGATGAAGAGTCCCATGAAATTAAATTGCAGAATGATTTTTCTTTTACAACGAAATAGAATCGGGTTATATAGCAATCTTTATATATTTCAACTACGAATATATGCGCCCCAAAAATTATTGAGTTACAATATCAAATACAATGTTATATACACCAAAGCATGTTCAAACATATAAATATTAATACGATAATGATAGTTTACTTACATGGTGGTATTGCAGACACTGCCTGTTGGATCCACTCCTCTGTCGATGTCTCAGAAATCGCAAAAGCATTTTTCAGTCTTCTTTGTCCCTGCGTTTCTCCCACAGCAGGGACAGGGGAAGTTACTCCGGCACACTCCTCTATCGCATCCCATCCCATCGACTCTGTATGATCTGAAGACAGCGAAATCAGAGGAGAGGTATCATCTATAGAGTCATTGCCGTCTTCGGGGGGCGTGGACTTTTGATGAATGCGTCTCTCTTCTTCAATTTCTTCCATTCTTTTAGCAGAGATCTTCTCCTCTAGCTACTCAGCGCTGTTGCTGTTATTTCTTTTATTTACCATTCTTATAGGGAAATAAAATATTGGATAGCCTACTTTCAGTTTGAAGCAGATGGTGTTAAAGCCAATAGGGAAATTCCGCTTAAATGACCATGCATATATATGCATTATATTTAATATCAAAGAGTTATTTATCTTTTAAATATAACACATTGTTATCGAGGAAATAAATGAAGCGCTGAAAATTTGCATCGTTTGTAAAAATTGTCTTCTCTTTTTCATTTCTTATTCATTCACGCCTGGATAAATCGACAAAAAAATAATAAGGATAATTGTCTTTACGCCTTATCATTAACATTCTCATTCAGAAGGGCGGATAATGCTTCCCTGTTAGTATTTTCGCAGCTGATATTATGATTGTCATACATTTATTCTCTTCCTCGTGCTTAATATACGACCGTCCAAGTTCATATAGGAAGAAATTTCAGTTGGGGGAGTGGTGAAAACAAAAAGAAACTATACAAATTCTCTAAGACAGGCAAAAGAAATAAGTAATAAGATATATTGCGTGGAGTAGGGCAGCACAACTGTGTATAACCTTTGTTTTTGATCTTGCTATATTGTTTACCACTTAAAAGTTTCTTTTTTTCTACAAAAATCCAATTTAGTATTAAATTATTTATTTAGTACGCTACAAGTGTAGATTTCCATCTTGTTAATAAAAATTAATGTCTGTTTTTTCACACAACAGAATATTTCATAGAATGCGTTTGTATTTTTTTTTTATATTTACCTAAATATTTTCTCTTTTTTCTGGTCCTGATCATGGTCGCAAACCACGGCCATAATGTACGATCCTCTCCCATTTTGGTAGGAGAGAGCTATATATGCGGACTGCGGACCGTGGCTTGAGACGATGGGTCCTGATAAGAATCAAGGATTCTTCAGTTATTGCAAGAGGGCATAAATATTATAATGTGCAAAAACTGATCAAAAATATTTGGTTTCTGCAAGGAATGAAGTTTCTTCCCCATCTTTTTGTGTACCATTCTGATAGATTGGTAATCCAACTTATACTCATAGTTCCCTTTCTAAGAAAGAAATTCTTCAAAATCATATGTCAGTTTTGAATATTTTTAATATCCCGAAGAACCAAAATGATTTTGAACTAACATATATTTATATATACCGGTATTGGATTCCAAAACTTCATAAGAATCCTTACAAACAAAGATACATATTGCGGGTTCCAGTAAATTTTCAACCAAGCCTCTTTCGTTACTCCTCACTAAGGTATTGAAAGTAGTGAAGGAAAAAACTTCAAGAGTATACTATGCAACAATATATTCAAGAAGTGGTGTGAATCAGATGTGGATACTCAAAAATTCCAAAGTGCTCTTGGACAATTTGAAACACAAGATGTTACCAAAATCAACAGCTTAAAAACTTATGACTTTTCAACTTTATACACAACTATTCCCCGCGATAAATTTGAGTACAGGCCTTTTGATATAATTGACAGCTGCTTTTTCAATAAAAATGGAACTCGTAAATTTACTTACCAGGTAATTGGTCATTTGCAAAATTATTTTGTTAAAACACATTCTGGTTGCAGACACAAGTACTCTGAAGTTGACAACAAAAAGATGCTTGAGTTTTTTGATTGACAATATCTATGTGGTTTTTGGAGACCATGTCTTCCAACAATCTATTAGAATTCCCATGAGTACCAATTGCGCTCCGTTATTAGCAGACCTATTTTTGTATTCATATGAAGCAGTATTTGTGTAAAATCTTATGCGTGAAAAAAAGAAAAAACTTGCTGTAGCCTTCAACTCAACATTTAGATGTGTTGACGACGTATTCTGTCAATTAACAATGGTTATTTCCATTTCTATGTCGATACAATATATCCTGGTGAACTTGAAATAAAAGATACCATAGAGTCTGACACATATGTTTTATACTTGGATATTTTACTTGAAAAAGACGTTATAATTAATGGTAATCTAACAACCAAGCTCTATGATAAACATAATCACTTTTACTTTCCATCGTCAATTTACTTATGCAGCAATATATATACCTTCATGACCTGCATATGGCGTTTATATATCTCAGTTGATTCGATACGCAAGAGCATGATCTATGTATGAACAATTTCTAAAACGAAGTTAATTATTGACAAACAAGTTGATGAAACAAGAATATCAACAGTCTCGTTTAAGATCATCATTTCATAAGTTCTTTGGTCAATACAATTACCTTGTCAGAAAATTCAATTTATCATTGAGTCAAATGCTGTCTGACGTTTTTCATACTTATTGTTGGTCCATTATTTGTACCTGAATTGACGACGGATTTTCCGTTATTTCCCGATCATGAAAAGGAGCACAAGGCGGGTGTGACCGGTCAGCAGGGATACTCACTCCTCCGTGCATGGCACCTGATCCCACCTCTGATGTTTTGGAGGTCGGTGTTTGCTCTGCTCCTATTTTGTATTGTTTTATGGACTTTGATATTGAACACTGTTCGTTATCTCCATATCCTTCATTGGAAGATACAACGTATAAACAAATATAACCTCAAAATTTTCATGAACTAAAACATGTTAACTGGCAGTAAAAATCTTTGGACTTCATTGCACACACCCTTTAAATCCGCCAGTGGTAGATGATACATATCAATTACATAGGAGAGTAACTATAAAAGGGTAGAAGGGTAGAACAGAGTTTTAACAGCCCACGTCCTTTGAATAGTTTTGGAATGGGCGTTGATGTACAGAATGGTGAGAATGCATCACCTTTTTCAAGAAGCAAAGTTCGCTATATGAGGCACCAATTTACTTTTTTATGATATCAGAAAATTAATTCTTAGTAGGAACAATGCGAATTTTGGCTATAATTTAAAAAATGATATCAAGAAAAAGTTCTTAATCTATCAAGAATTAAAATTTTTGATATCAGAAAATCAATTTCTGAATTCGATCTAAGTATAGATAGAGTTTTAACCTTCTCTAAAGTGAATTATATATATGTCAATTTATAAGACTCCCTCATATGAAGTCTTATCAATTCCCAGTTAAGTTACGAAGCCTATAACTTAGACTTATATTAATCTGTACGTGTATCCTAAAACTATTTTTGGGATGTTAACACCCAACCTTGGTGCAGCAGGCAGAACATTCGCCTAGAGAGAAGCAATCAAATGTTCCAATATTTGGCGGCTCAGAATGCGTAAACAAATAATGAAGAGGCCTAATTAACGATTCAGATGTACATGTACCTTTATATGTGAACTGTTATTTGAAATTTTATGTTTAAACACTGGTTTGTTTGTTTTATTTAATATTGATTTCACAAATCATTCTTAGAAGCAGAAGCTATTTGGTGGAATATCCAAGTACAATAACATGTAAGTCCAAGACCTTTTCTCAAATAAAAAAAAAAAAAAAGTACAATGCCCCCCCCCCCCCCCGACACACACACACACCCTGACAGAGTCGGACAGACATACAGACAGACAGAGAACAAGAAAGGCATTGAACTTTTTTGTTTAAAAGGTAGATTTTTTTTTGGATTAGGAACATGCAACGACCGGGAAAATTACCTTTGATGGTGCAATACAGGAACTGGTCAAATGCATTTTAAGAAATGACGTAAATGTGGTAAAAATTAATTCGCCGCCGATAGGGAATTTCAAAACAAGAATTTATCTTTAAATGATTGATTGCAATCTTGAACCTTCTTCAAGATATCATTTTACAACTTTTTTGTTAATAATTGTTCCATAAGACATTGACTATGAACGAATTTTATATCTGTTATTCTAGGACTATTTTCTCTATCTAAAAGCGGAAGTTATGAGGATAGGGATTTTCCCGTTTTGTTTACATCGTCATCTTTAAAAATGTATTTCTGCTGATGTGCATTTGAAGGAACGTAAAATATCCACATATAATAGTTTAAATCTGGTAAATACATTTATAATTTTGTGTAAATGTAAAGTAAATTTGTGACTCTTGATATTCGCTTCATTCTACTTTCATTTTTACAGACTAATTCGCAATGAATTTTGCGTCGGACAAGGTATTCCTGTACGATGTGCCTGAGTTTGAGGTGGTATCCGATGAGGAGTATGACCATGGGATGAGTGTCAGGTAAGTTATATACACAGGTAGCCCCAAGTTCTGTTTCATTTCCAGCAAATGCAGTAGTAAAAGATTTAGAAGTTGAATAGAATATATGTGTCATTTGAAATGACCTAACCATGTAGCCTAATGAAAGCCTTAATCCTGGAGCCCTAATTATTGTCCTAATTATGGAGCTTAATATATGCCCTAAATGCATTACAATTGTAAGTTTTGTAGGTGTCTTGATACCCAATGATGGAGCAGAAGGCCCAAATACTTGGAGTCTAATGGAATATAATACACTGAACAGGTGCCCTAACTATATGAGACCTAGGACCCTAACAGGCACCATTATTATCGAACCTAATGCCCTAACAGATGTCCTAACTATGGAACTTAATATCCTAACAAGTGCCCCCATTATGGGACCTAAGCCTAATGCCCTAACAGGTGCCCTAACTATGGACCCTAATGCCATATCAGGGAGGCCTAATGGTGTAAGGCATTAGATCATTAGGGATTAGATAGAGTATACATGTATAAGAACAGAGAGATAATGAAAGGGAAGGGGAGCAGGAGGAATAGCCTACAAGTACTGATTTTGTAAACGCAGTGATTGGATACTGATATTTTACTCATATATCAACACATAATTTGAGATTCCTCTGCATGACTCTGACCCCCTGCTTTTTATACTGTTTATACAAGAAGGGGCATTCTTTCCTGCACATGTCGCAATAATTAAAAGCAGAGGTTAGAGTCAGAGGAATCTTAGATTAGGTGTCGTAACAAATATTATTTTATTTTCAACTAGTTCCTCCATCCCCAACGCACCCTTACTTTTAATGTTATTATTAATGGTGCTTAAACAGCACAACATGCATTTCAGCAGACAAATTCCAGCTACAATTTATCTCCTCTTTCTTTACTGTCATGTTTTACATGTTGTATTGTTGTTGTACATTTTATATATTGATTAAGATCCTTGTTTCTTTTCACAGTAATTCCAGCAGTGATGAAGAAGTTGAAGATTGCCTTGTACAAAGAGGAGGTAGTTTGTGTGTATAGTCACTATACTAGGCCATCATTAAAAAATTGTTTGTTTGGAATTGCCGCCTGAAGGGTCTCAGACACAGGAGGGAGGGAGGGAAATTATTTTTTTTTTTAATTGAAAAGCTAATTTTACATAGATCTGACACTTTATTTCAGTGTTTTGTATGGTGCATGTGATACATGTAATGGGCAAAAAAAAATTGATTAAATTAAAAAAAAATCTTCCTACTTTTGGTCAATAAAATTTTTTCAGGAGGGGGCATTTCAATGAGGCGGGAGGCAATTCCAAACAAACTATAATTTTATTTTGGCCCTATTAATCAGAGATTCAAGACTGTTAAATGTCTCACGCGATCTTGTGTTCCCTATTTTTTAATTTTTCAAATTTCGTGCGACTGAAATCACATAAACCTTTAAAATTATCAAAGACTACATGGTAATTTTTTAAAATTTATATTAACAAATTATTCACGATATTATTTTTTCATAAGTTTGTTTATGTAACACAATAAAAAAAATGGGAAATCCGAAATTACAACTGGTGATTCTTGGTCAGCCATATTGCCGCAATTTGCTGACTGTTGATCATTAACCTCTTTTATTTGCCTAGTTTGCTTTTAAAATTCATTAAGGCTTAACAAATTATACATCCAAATATGGTATAATTAATATTAATTTTACTTTAGAATGAAATACGAGACATAAAAAGAGTAATTCTTAGGATAGTAACAGGAAACAGGACGGTCAATTACATGTATTTCGGTAAACAAACATGCTAATTGCGAAGTTGCGAATCTCTGTTATTTATGTCTCTGTATTAATACATTAAATGAATGTTAAAGTATCTTGAATGGTTTTGTTATATTAGTCAGATATAAACACTCTAGCTTCCTCAAATGATAATGATTAATTAAATAACATAATTATGTTTTTGTGCTTACTGCTGATGAAGTAAATAAAACATAATCAAAAGGGCAGCTGAAAGATTATAATTATTTAAACAGTTGAGCATGAACTCAGCATAAAGATGATAAAATAAATATCTGACATAATTTTCAATAAAAATTATATAAGGCTGTATTTTTCAATAAAGAAGATTATATATCATGTTTAATTTAGATACATTACCATTTTTTTGTTTTTCACTATGAATCTTGAATTAATCATCCTATCAATAAAAGTTTAAATTCTTATAAAGTGGTAAATTGCATTTGAAAATTGTATTTGTTGATTCTACAAAGTTTTGTTTTTCTGTTACATAGGCTCTCCCCCTACACTGGGAGCTGGCCCCTCCTCGACCCCTTCTTCTCCCCCAGCCCCTACCCCTCCCCCACCCCCTAAGGCTCCAAGACCTGGATTATTTGCCGGACTTTTTGGGGCAAGGTCTGCAAAATCAACACCCCCTGCTGCTGAAAAATCAAAGAAATTAAAAAGAAGAGGAAAGAAAGTTGGGAAATGGAGAGACACTCTGGAGAGTTGTAAGTATGAATATCATAAACTTAGTTTACTTGATAGTTTAGACTTTTTCAGATAAAACTGTTATGTTCATTGCTTTTTTATCCAATTGCTAAACTTTTAAAGATTTTGGAATTTGTATCAATACCGTTGTTTTTTTTTTTTTTTGGAAAAACCTAATAAGTAATACATTATTTAACTCATGAATTATTTACAATCACCATCAGATAAATAAGATTTTTATTGACCTTGAATGCATCATGATTTACACAAACCAAACTGTACTATTTGTTAAATATATATACTTGATCATATAGATGCTACAGACAAACCAGAAAGTGAGCAGCAAGGAAAACGTCATCGCCGTGCAGATACAAACATAATCTCCATCGATTTTCAAAAGATCATCGCCCCTAGCAACATGCACACTGGTGACCCCGTACATTGCACTTCCTGTGATGTCATTCTGTCCAGTCTGAGTAAAATTACCTCCAAGGAAAATAAAAAGGTTGGAAAGTAAAAACTAATTACAATTGTCCCAATCAAAAGTTTGAATATTGATGAAATATATAAAAAGATCCAAAACAAAGATATGTACATGTTTGTATGTACAAGTACAGTTAAAGATGCAGTGTTCATTCTTTTGAATATGAATTGGGATAAGTGAAGATAAAATTCAGTATGGCTGGTAAGATATTCTTATCAATATTTATATCAGTCATATTTTAACTTAAAGAAGTGAACAAAATACCCAGAAAGGAAAGTAATATTTTCTTTTAACAATGCTTTCTTAATTATCACTAATTTATATTTCAGATCTGGGTCTGTGAGTTTTGTGGTACGGAGAATGAGTTAGATATTGAGGAGGAGGAAATCCCGGGCTCTAACGACGTGACCTACATGTTAGAGCCGGCTCCGTCCACCGCGTCCAGCAGTCTGTCCGGGAAAGATGAGTCGCTGGTCATTTTCTGTGTGGACATCTCAGGAAGCATGTGTGTCACATCCACAGTAAGCTTTCTAAAAATCTCCTCAGATTTCATCTTTAACTTTGTTAAAACCTGATATCTTGTTCTTGTTTTATTATTGATTTTAGATCTTGAAAATAATATTAATATTGCATACGATAATATATGTAAATGGAATTTCCTTTTTTTTAAAAATAGAATATTTATTTTTTAAATTTGGACAGAGGCTTTTACTCTCAGTTTGAGACATAGACTATTCTCAAAGTGCCAAAATGTAATTTCTTTTATAGTAATATTATAAACATGTTTATCTGAGTTAATACTCTAACTTATCGGCATCTTTCCAGGTTCCAGGTAGAATCAATCTTCGAGGATCAGTGGCCAGACTTCAGTCTCTCAATACTGACCGATCGGACCAGCACCTGCCTAACGAGCGACGCAATGTGACGTACGTGTCGCGTCTCCAGGCGGTCCAGGCGGCCGTCGACCACCAGCTGGAGGAAATGCGAAAACAACACCCCAACAGACGAGTGGCTCTCATCACCTTCAACAATGAGGTCAAGGACTAATTATTTATTGTAACACACTTAGATTGTGTTGTGATTCAAGTGATTGATATTTTAGTTAGTTTCTTTTAAAGTTTGGAAACGTGATTGTGAAATGGAAACCATATTACAGTGTATTTCCAATTGTGCTGTTTCATGACAGTAATTGTGAAGATTTTTGTATACTTTACTAGTAACTTTTGGGTTTTGCAGACAGTAGATTTGTAAGTGACCTTGGTATACCTGTTGTAGGTAACAATTATTGGAGATGGGAGTGAGACACCTGTCACTGTGGCTGGGGACAAACTGACCAAACCTAATGACCTCAAGGAGAAAGGGTCAGAGATCAAGATGCCAGGGGCTATCAAGGGATCCAGGGGTACTCTAGGGGATAAACTTTTTGGGTATGCAAAACAACATTTTAAATAACTGAGAAGTGCTATATTCATGTAAATTATATGAAATACTGTAAACCCAACATTTTTTCGCGACGACTTTATTTCGTATTTACCACGGATAAACTAGATCGCAACTATTTATTTTCGCGATCAAGCCTTTTTGGATCTGTTGTTAATAGACACATACACTTAAAGGACCAGTTCACGGCGAGAAATGATGACTAGGCTTTCGCAAAATTTGCGAAAATTTCTCGCACGCGAATAAAAGTTGGTTTACAGTAGTTCATTGAATAAAAATTAAAGTTTTATTACAGTTAGATTACTGTTATATTTTCCTCTTACCAATAGATATGAGTAAGGCTTTCAGTGTTTGTAATTGTTCTGCAAACTCCTTGTTAATGCACCTGAAACTTTCATATTTACATTAAGTTCCTTTCATGACATAGCTTTTTAAAGTATAGGTAATTTTACTTTGATGTATTGATTAAATAAAAATGATAACTTCAAAGAAAATGATTAGAAAAATTAAGTATGTTACAAAACTATACTTATGAAAGTACATACTGTTGAATTTCTATTGCTTTGACAGCCTGGAAGAGGGAGGAGCTACAGCATTAGGCCCCGCCTTACTGATAGCGACAACAATGGCAGGACAACACCCAGGGTCAAAGGTCATCATCTGTACTGACGGTAAAGCCAATGTAGGTCTAGGTCGTCTGGACGTTGACGGAGAAGAGATGGATAACGAGGCCCAGTTTTATGAAGGGATTGGACAGGAGGCAGCAGACAAGGGGTAGGTATTACTCTCAACTCTGTATTTTAATATTATCCTAGAAATAAAGAATTAAACAAACACTAAACTTTAGATCATGTAAGGATCTGTACTTATCATTAATTTTTTTTTTAGATAATACAGATTGTATTTATTTATGATTGTTGTTTTCAATGTCATGAATGTTTTGTTTTTCAGTGTTGCTGTGTCAGTTATCAGTATCAAAGGTACTGACTGTAAAATGGTTCACCTGGGAAAGATAGCTGATATGACAGGGGGGCAGGTACTCATCTCTAATTAGTAAAACGCATGATTTAAGTTACTCTCAATTTTAAAAGTTATTAGATATGCATATTGTAATTTTGAATATTTGTACATTTTAGGTGAACATAGTTGACCCATTAAAATTGACTCAGGAATTTTCTACCATTCTGGCGGACCAGATCATTGCTACAAATGTGGTAGCTACCTGCCATCTCCATAAACGACTGTAAGAATTAAGTTATATGTTTCTACCCTTTTATTTAATCACTTTATTTATACTTGTAATGTAATTGAATGTATTTTTTTTTTTTAGCTTTTTCTATTATGAAGAAACAGAGGCAAGCAAGGTTGTAAGAAATGTTGGGAACGTGACGGCTAGCACTGAGGTTACATTCGAGTACGGAGTCCGCTGTCAGTCTGACACAAATCAGGGAAAAGCCCCGGTTATCCCAGAGGAATCAGGACAGGGGGAGCAAGGTAGGAAGTCTAATGCTACAAATTGTTACAAAACGTATATGCTTACACAAACACATGTTTATGTCATTTGAAAATGAGGTTTCCATACTGAAACATTGCCTGAAATTCAGTGACCTCTAAATTTTTTAAATTGTATAGTTTGCCAAACAAAGAAGCTGAGATTCTAAAAATAGACAAATACTGGCATTATTGCAAGATTGAATTTTAATGTCATTCAAATAATGCATTTTTTTTTCTTTAAACATGTTGCACATTTGGGTTATGGTGCATCTCAAAAAGAAAGTCACAATCTAGAAACAAATAGATATTAAGTTACACTAAGCATTGAGAAACTGAATTTTCTGAGTTTTTGAACTTTGATGATTAGCCTTATGATGTTTTATTGAAGCTAGTGGAGGTGAGAAGAAACCACAGGCAGAAGGAGGGAGACAAGAGGAAGCCATGGAGACAAACCAGGACGATCTTAAGGAGTTACCTTTCCAGCTGGTGGTCAAATACACGGACACCGAGGGTGCCACAGCTCTCAGGGTGCTGACACAGAGTCGTCCGATTACGTATGACAGACGGGAGGCAGAGAGAAGTAAGATACAGGGATAATCAATATCAAAATAATCTATACAGAACATAGTGTTATGGCTTTAGTGCAAGATGGCTATTAATTTTTTTATGGCGTCGGGCTTGCCCGATCGTCATCTAGGGATCAGTCAGGTTTACGCGACCGCACGTGTCAGTGGATGCATCCGCAATAGAAAATCACAACAGCTGTAATCCAATTTCTTTTAAAACGTTCACAATGAATAATAGCTTGAATATAAAATCAAATCAATTGTATTTTCAATTAATACTACTACAAAACAACGATATTATGTTTAATTTTTACGCAAGAAAAACGTTATGGTTCTTGCGGATGAATTTCTAGAGGGTGCGTCGAATGACATGAATCACATTTTGGGAACGATTACTATAATACAAACAATCTTAAATACGGTAAAATAATTACAAAATAAACACGAATACAACACGACTATAAAGAATGAATTTCTTAATCTTAGCTTTACTTTTAGGATCGTCAATCCAATTTTAGCCGAACAACGTACGATATTGACCAGTAATGCCAGTATTACTGTATTTATCCATTTCCTCCATTTGTTTACCGCGCCCTATCGTAAGTCGATCGTACTTGTAACATTAGAGTCGTGGTTGTAGTTAAGATGCAATCACTATACAACAGAACAACACTCTGACAATGGCAATTAATTAAAATAATTTATGAAACTCTTCGTATGTCTTCGATTGACTGAAAAGAAATTAGATTGATATAGAGGATGGACATTTCTGACGATGTCTGGTCAATTCGAACCCTGACTCATTCGGACCAGGACACAACGTTATCAGGCCCTATACTGTATTTGTGTTAGATTTTATTATTATGTTACCGGAGTCACTCACTTGACCTATTTGCAGATCTTTTGAAATTGTTTTCCTTGTTCGACGCCATTGAAGCCTTTCAGGCTTTTGATTTTATGTATTGTAGCAATTTTCTCCATCATTTTAATAGAATGTGCAATAAAACATGGATATTTTCCAGTACTTTAAGATTCTGATTGAAACTTAAATTTGAGAAAAGGAGTCAAAGAAACATAGTGTTACAATTGTATAATATAACAAGTGTAAGTTCTGGGGAAAGAAGATCAAAAGAACAGTCTGGAAAGTTCCATTTGGAAATTATGACAAACATATCCTTTCTACTCTTCAAAGAAAGAGTAAACAGTGTGAAAAATAAGAGTTGATTGAATGAATGTAAAATGCACTCTTCTTGTGTCAACTGTAAATGTACCTCCACTATATCTGTAGCAAACATCTTAATTAGAGATGTTCTGTTTATAAAAAAAATAATATAATATGGCTTTAATGTTACAGTGTAAATGTTTTTTTTTTCTTTTCTAGATATGAACTTAAAAGTGTTGGGATCCCACACAGCCCAGACGACCTCTGCCCTTGCCCTGGGGGGTCAGTACACAGAGTCCAGGGGTAGAGCTCTGATGAACCAAAGACTAGCCTGGAGGTTTACTAAGTGAGTCAGAAAAATTTAATTTTGATTGTTCTGCCATGTGTTGTTCTTATCTTTAAGTGTCACAGTACTTGAGAGGAGATATCCACATTTTTAAGTATCTCAGTTTTTGAGATGAGATGTTTTCATTTTTGATTATCATATTGTGAATGAGATGATTTAATCTTTGATTATCACTTTTTTTAAAATGATATGTTTTTAATTTTTTAAGCGTCTCAGAGGAGGGAAAGCATCAAAAGAAAGCCTACAAAAAAATGTTTGGGAAAATCAAATCAATGGATCACTACATCAACGCAAGGCAGCAGGCAAGTTTTTCCATTCTGTGACATTTATTTTGAAACTAAGACTAGCTGTTATTTTGGAAGCAATATTAATTTAAACAAGCTAATTCAGAGAATTTGTGTCCCCCGCTTAGGGAAAAAGTAAACAATGCACAGTTTGGGGGTCGGGGGTTGGGTGGGGAGGGGGGGTGGGGTCGGATCCTCTTGACTGAATTTGTAGAATTATTAAATGTATACTGAAGCAAATAAAATATGCCAATATGGATATAAAGGTTTGATTGATTATTCTTAATTACATGTAAGTGTGTAGAAGATTCTTTTTATATGGAATATTTATCACACTGTAAAGATGATTTTATGAGTTTGTACAAGCCAGACCTCAAAGATTTCCCATGCTGAATACTATCATTTAGTAAAAAAAAAAGTATTTCCCCCCCCCCCCCCCCAAAAAAAATTGGAATTTCCGGGATGCGAACCCTGACCCTCTCCCTTGTGAAGCAAGAGACATACCACTAGACCACGGAGCCGCTTTAACATGGCAAAAATTATATACAAATATTAAGTCACATACATGTATATATTCACGTTCGATATATTGTCAAAATTTTACACAATGCATGGTGTCTAATTTAATCTTTTTTAAACAGTTCTAATGTAATAAGAATATAAAGTCTGCCAAGAACCTGTTTTATACATAATAACTCTCCTTCATGCCCCTGTGCTAAAAATAGCGACATGTAATACAATAAATACTAATAAAACAAACGGGGCGGGACACTTTGGGAGGGGTGAGAGAGGTCCTAGGGACTTTTGGTATAACATTATAGTGCAAAAGCTCAAAATCCTCTTGAAATATCGCCCGAAAACGATAGTATTACACACAAACAGAATGTATACATTTATGACCTTGAATTTTGACCTTTTGACCTCAAATCAATAGGGGTCTTCCTTAAGCCACAGGGATTGTTATGTAAAATTTCATTACAAAAGTTTAAAGGGTTCTCGAGATATCGTGCGGAAACGAAAGTGTTATAACAGAGAGAAATTGCGAATTAATGACCTTGACCTTTGACCTTTTGACCTCAAAATTAATAGGGGTCTTCTCTAGTCCATAGGGAGTTGCTATGCAAAATTTCATTGCAAAAGCTTAAAGGGTTCTCGAGATATCGTGTGGAAACAAAAACGTTACAGACAGACAGAAAGACGGATGGACAGACGGATGGACAGACCCAAATTAATATCCCCCACTTTTCAAGCGGGGGACAAAAATCATAGAATATATATCTGTTTTAATACTAGTAAATTGAATTTCATGTAATACAAAATTTTTTAGATTTCATATGTTAAAAAATTTACCTGGTATGCTAAATAGTTTCTGTTTACTTGTCATGCTTGTGTTGAGAATCCATGATAATAATTGGGTGAAACTTGTGTGTTTATAAAGTACCTTGGATTATTATACTGTAGATTCCTTATTTTTCGTGAGTACTTTTTATCGGGAACTGGCTTTTAAACGTCAAATCCCAGGAATTATAATTGTGAATGGATGGTTGATCAACAGATTTTAGTTTTTACATTGATTTCAGCCCCATAAAAATAAAAGCGAGTGATATTTTTTCGCAAGTGATGCTTCTAGCGAAATTACGAAATCTACAGTACCCCTGCCATTGAACATGATAAGTGGTCACTCATTTCAGTCTATACAGTCTCTGTTTAATGTAACTTTTGCAAAATGACATGGACAATACAAACACATATGCCAAATATAAAACTGAGTCATATTGCTCAAATAAAATGTATGAGAAAGAATCTGCAGGAAAAAAATAAAATATGCCTCCCTTCATTTAAAAGAAGGCTTCGTTATTGGTTAAATAATTGTAGGACCTAAAACTGAAAATCTGTTATTATTATATTAAATGACAAAAATAATTGTTTATGGCTGAGTCACAACAATAAATCATTACCTGATAAATGATAAATCATTACCTGAATTATTGATTTATTTTTACAGGAAGAGAGGAAAGCTATTGGGAGAACCTATAGTGATAGTGAGGAGGAAGATTCTGATAATGAGCAGGATTTGGCAGAGACTAGCACTGCCAGAACACGCTCTGAACCGGCGGCAGCTAAACCCAAGGCTCGATTCTTCACCAAATCATACAAACTGGTTCGTTCATATATTTACAGAGCACAGGGGATAACTTTTAGTCCACACTTAACCTTTCACAAAGTTCAAAGACCTAGTATTACAATATAAGTTATATATTGCTTTGACATTATTGATGCTAAAGATAATACATTAAATACATGTAACAGCGAAACATGGTTACAGCAAACACACTTGTGATCACATAATTTTCATTCAATGAAGTTATTACATGCCATATGTATTACGAACTTATCAGATAAAATAAACTATGTTAATAACAATTGTTCATCCTTTGATATTCATTATATGGTAGGGGTGATTAAATGTATGAAATTGAGTTTAACATGAATATTGGACTATTTGACATTAAATGTGCAAATTGCCTTGCCCTAGAGAAATTATACTGTTTTGTGTTGCTTATTGTAGAAGAAGAGATCTGAAGCCTGCTCTGATGTGGGAGCTAACATGATGTTTCAGATGAAGAAGGGAAGCAGGTACTTGGATGCAGAAAGCGATGAAGACGATTAAGAGAGACTTGTTTAATGAAGGGAAATGTAAATGTGTGTCATAATAAGTAGGATTATCTCCCCTTGTATTTAATGTGAAGATACCAAGAATTCCAGTGACTTTTATTATGATACTGTACAAATTTTTTTATGTTTATTATTTAATGTGTCTGTGATATATTTACTTTCATTTGCTTAAAACTGTAGTGTAACTTTTGTTAGTTAAAGCAACACCCATTAAACAATGCTTTTTATACCTGTGTGGAAATACAGGTATTTAGAAATTGCCATTTATTTAAAATGTGCATTCTTCAACATGCATTTTTCATAATGTACTTTCTGTTTTTTTTTATTACAGTTGGAAATAAATAATGATTAGCATATATTTTTCTCTTGAAATCTTTTGTATATTTGAAACTTAAATGTTGCAGAGGAAAAAGGATAAGAAAATTGTAGAGCAAGATTCAAGAGGTGCACATTGCAATAAATAGAACAAGTTTATTTTTCCTCACCTCTGCATTAGATTAAAGAGTAGTTCTGTCAGTCAAGTCTACGATTTGTTAAGACAATGTAATGCTCTGCGAAGTAACTACTGTAAATGTATTATATTTGGCGTGTACAATATTTGGCTGAAACTGACTTTTGAAAAAGTTAGCGTGTGTTTGATTTAGCGCATTTCTTAATGTTCTTATTATGAGTATATGTGCAAGACATTTAGCGTCGTACTTGAATAAGCTGACTTTTTTTTTCCACCAAAGGCGCTAAAAAGAATACACAGCCAAATATAATATGCTTACACTATGATACTATTTGTTTTTTATGAATTTATATGAAAAAAAAAATGATTTGTAGATTCTTTAATATCATTTGCTGACAAATAAATGAGTAGAGTCCACTTATTTACTATAGTAAACTAGTTAATCTGATAAATATTGGTGTAGTGCTTCGGGTTACATATGTGTCCAAGTGCTGCATGCATAGCAACCAGAGCATCATGTGTTATGGAGACCATAGTAGGATTTGAGTCGATGATATCAATGACATTTTTCTGAAAAAAATTAAAAATGTTAAAAGCCATTTTCAGAAAAAAAGGAGAGCTCCTTAAAACATTTTAAACAAGATAATTTTTTCTTTGTGAGTCTTTTTACATCTAAAAAAATAAGTAAATTAATTTGTGATTAATTTGTTGACCCCCCAGCCTCCTTAAACATTAAAAACAAGATAAGGTGTTTCAAACCTATTAAATTATGAGTCTCGTCCAAAGTTTCTTTTCTTTATGTTGCACAGGATATGTAACAATATGTTACAAACGGACATACAGTATAAACTATGAATACATAGTAATGGCTTTTTTTTGTTCGTTTATGGATAAGTGGGTGAGTTAGTTGATTCTGTGCAAAACAGAAGTTACGTTATATATAATGGGATCGATGTTTAATGCTGATTTATTGATATGCTCTTTGCAAGAGAATGATGCTCCACCCTACGGTACCCTTGTTTAAAATTGTTATATAAATGTATTTTGAATTTCAGAAGAAAAATGGGTGTTATTTTTTGTTTAATTGTAATCAATTCATAAATACAGTGTTCAGATTTGAAAATACCTCTAAAATATAAAGATAAAAACATGAAAAAGGCAAGTATTAAAATTATCTCAGTTTTAATGCCTTCCAATCGACAAGGAATTTGTTTACAGTTTTATATTCTAAGAAACGAACATTTTATCATTTATAAAAAGATGTTTGTAAAACATTTTGTCCTTCCAGTGAACCTAATTTCAAGTTTTTTAAAAGAACTCACTCAGTTTTATGTCTTTTGCGAAATAAATTTGCCTATATGGAGCGACTTTTTGGGCTCTTTTTGTCTATTTGTAAAGAACCAAAGAAGCTGTGGATGTTCAAAAGCTATTTTCGGATTTGTCCAATATTGTAACTACCCAGGGTTTTTCTGATCAAAATCACATTGCGCTTTTGGACAATATTTAGTTGACTATTAGCAAATTGTTTAATCTCTTCTTTTTTACCTCGATTGTATGAAGTCCATGTGACGAATGAATGTCCATCTGTTCCTGGGAACTTGTTTTATACAGGTAACAGGTATGTCCAGATCTTACTGACAAAACATGCTGTAATGTAATGTATTAAAAAGCCAATAAGAATTTGTCCTAAATAAGCAAAATTCACTTTGCAAATTTTTCAAACATCAGACTACCTGCAACAACAGACTACTGATTTTGTAAAGGAAAAGCATTCACTACAAGTACACTGGAATCTGATAACCTTAAATTCTTTTCATAATTCCGGTGTTCATTTATGGAACAAATTACCTTTGTATATACGTTTTTCACAGAATTTACACACATTTTGTAAAAATGTAGAAACATTTATTATAGCGTGTCGCAACTAGAATGTCCTAAAATCTATATGTACTTGTATTTTTACGTCATGTTGCATTATTTGTTATTGTACACTGATTTTATTAATTTATTATTGTATTATTGTGAACATGCTTAGAGGGCCCCGAGGAAGACTAGTGCATTGCATTAATCGGGTTACCATCTTAAAATAAAGTATTACTATTATTATTATTATTATTAAGTCTGCCCTCTAGAAGTGATGAGAATTCTTACCGTATGGTAGTCATAGTAGAATGAGAATTCTTACCGTGTGGTAGTCGTAGCAGAATGAGAATTCTTACCGTGTGGTAGTCGTAGTAGAATGAGAATTCTTACCGTGTGGTGGTCGTAGTAGAATAATTCTTACCGTGTGGTGGTCGTAGTAGAATGAGAATTCTTACCGAGTGGTAGTCGTAGTAGAATGAGAATTCTTACCGTGTGGTAGTCGTAGTAGAATGAGAATTCTTACAGAGTGGTGGTCGAAGTAGAATGAGAATTCTTACCGAGTGGTAGTCGTAGTAGAATGAGAATTCTTACCGTGTGGTGGTCGTAGTAGAATAATTCTTACCGTGTGGTGGTCGTAGTAGAATGAGAATTCTTACCGAGTGGTAGTCGTAGTAGAATGAGAATTCTTACCGTGTGGTAGTCGTAAGAATGAGAATTCTTACAGAGTGGTGGTCGAAGTAGAATGAGAATTCTTACCGTGTGGTAGTCGTAGTAAAAAATTCTTACCGTGTGGTGGTCGTAGAATTACCGTGTGGTGGTCGTAATTTACCGAGTCAAACTTCACTGTGGTAGTCAAGATTTCTTACAGTTGGTCAAACATGGTAGTCGTAGAGAATGAGAATTCTTACTGTGTGGTGGTCGTAGTAGCTTAACAACCGAGTGGTAGTCGTTAGAGGTTCTTACCGTGTGGTAGTCGTAGTAGAATGAGAATTCTTACCGAGTGGTGGTCGAAATAGAATGAGAATTCTTACCGAGTGGTAGTCGTAGTAGAATGAGAATTCTTACTGTGTGGTAGTCATAGTAGAATAATTCTTACCGTGTGGTGGTCGTAGTAGAATGAGAATTCTTACCGAGTGGTAGTCGTAGTAGAATGAGAATTCTTACCGTGTGGTAGTCGTAGTAGAATGAGAATTCTTACCGTGTGGTAGTCGTAGTAGAAGTGATGTGGTGGTCGTAGAACCGTGTGGTGGTCGTTACCGTGTGGTCGTATGGTCTTACCGAGTGGTAGTCATAGTAGAATGAGAATTTTTACCGTGTGGTGTCGAAGTAGAATGAGAATTCTTACCGTGTGGTGGTCGGAGTAGAATTAGAATTTTAACCGTGTGGTAGTTGAAGTAGAATGAGAATTCTTACTGTGTGGTGGTCGTGTGATGTGTGGTGGTCGAAGTAGAATGAGAATTCTTACCGAGTGGTAGTCGTAGTAGAATGAGAATTCTTACCGTGTGGTGGTCTAAGTAGAATGAGAATTCTTACCGTGTGGTGGTCGTAGTAGAATGAGAATTTTTACCGTGTGGTGGTCGAAGTAGAATGAGAATTCTTACCGTGTGGTAGTTGAAGTAGAATGATTCTTACCGTGTGGTGGTCGAAGTAGAATGAAAATTTTTACCGTGTGGTGGTGGAAGTAGAATAATTCTTACCGTGTGGTGGTCGTAGTAGAATGAGAATTTTTACCGTGTGGTAGTCGTGGAAGTAGTGTGGTGGTCTAATAATTTCTTACCGTTTTTACCGTGTGGTAGTCGTAGTCAGAGAATGAGAATTCTTACCGAGTGGTAGTCGTAGTAAATGATTCTTACCGTGTGGTAGTCGTAGTAGAATGAGAAAGATTCTCCCACTGACGCCTCATGAGTGGGGCGTGTTCCGTGGGAATGTGGGCGATGGGCATGAGTGGAATGCTGTGGCCGTTTGGTGGTTGTAGCAGCCATAGTCTTTAAAAAAATAGTTCTGTGTTATATGAATTAAAAAAAAAAGATGTCATACCGGGTATTTTCTAATTGAAAACTGGTGTTTTATATGAGATAATTTGGAAAACTCTTCTTTGAATTCTTTTTTTTTTCAAATTACACTACATTTATTTAAATTCTTGATTTTTTATCAAAGCATCTGGGGTGTTGGAATCCTTTTTTGAATATAGTTTTTAGCTACTTTTAAAGTGGGCCTTACAAGGCATGCACAGCCGTTCATTCACTATCATAATTTTTTTAAACAAATAAAACCAACAGCACACAAAGGTTCTTATTGTCTAATCTATCAAAATTAATACTAGTATTGATGCAATAAAGAAAAAAATATTGTGGGCTACATACATGTATTATTCTTTACATAAATTCTTTTTATTATTATCTTTATTTTTAGCTGTACTGGTCAGAGACCAGAAGAGCTTATGCGATAGTAATGCGTCCGGGGTCCGTCCGTCTAGCTGTCTGTCTGTCCGTCTGTCTGTAAACAATTTTTCAAAATGCTACTCCTCTTACAGTTTTGGTCTGATTTCAATATAACTTGGCACACAAATAGACTACATTAAGATACATAATTCGTTTTATCGGTTTTTGATTTCGATGAACGTTGTTACCGTGGTTACTAAAAATAGAAATTTCTGTAAAATTATTTCAAAATGCTACTCCTCCTAAAGTTTGGTCTGATTTCAATATAACTTGGCACACAAGTAGACTGCACTAAGATACATAATTCTATACATAGGTTTTTGATTTCGATGAACAGTGTTGCCGTGGTTACTAAAAATAGAATTTTCTGTGAAATTTTTTTCAAAATGCTACTCCTCCTACAGTTTTGGTCTGATTTCAATATAACTTGTCACACAAGTAGATTACACTAAGATAC